AAAGTGTATTACCTTTTTGGGTCGTAGCTCGACGGTAGAGCGCTCGGACCTCCGTACCGTTACAACAATGCATACAAGCAACTTTATCAGATTGGTTATGGGGACTCCGGCCTGCAAGTAGGTGAATCTGCGGCTCTGTGGCAACTCTTTGCCCGCCCACGTTTGTTTTATGGTGCCGAAGTTTGGTCACCATAAGTACCAAAAAGCTATTAATGAAGGTCGAAAGCGCCCAAGTGCAGGCGGCCAGGCGGGTCTTTGGCAAACAAAGCAATGCGTTGGTGATTGCTGAAGCTCTTCTTGGCGACCTCGGTTGGCTCTCTGCATGCTCCTACATTGCTGAGACCAAGCTCAACTTCTTTGGTCACATTTGTCGACTGGAAGACCACCGGCTCATCAAGAAAGTTTTTCTTGCTCGTCTTCAAGACTTCCAATCCAAATGCTCGCTTGCAGGCGCCCCCTGGATTGACGACAAGTCTTGGCACTCAGAATTATTCAAACTCTTTACAGACACTCAACTAGCCCATATACAAGATCCTCAAAGTGCATCTGCCATTTCAAAAGCACGGTGGAAAAAAGAGGTTCACTCAGCAGTCCTTACTCTCGACCGCCACCTTTGGTTAGAAAATCTGAATCGTACCGAATCTGGAAAGCACTACAAGTTTATTAAGACCAGATACGGGCAAGAACCTTACATCTTTAGGCACGACAGATGGTCAACCACTGTAAAATTCTACCTTAGATCAAGATCCTTTGGCTTGCGGTCACGAATATTCCACGGTGACACTGCTGCTAGCAAAGTCTGCACCTTGTGCTTATCTGGAAGTCAAGATTACGAGACACACTTTCTGCTTGACTGCAAAGCCTTCTCTCGTCATCGGAAACAGTTGGCTAGTGAATTAAAAGCCCAGCTAGAAACCGACTTCCTTGCTGAGCTATCTGATATCACCTTGGCACTGCCTCCTCTTCAAATGGCATACCTGTTAGGCCGGACAGAACCCTGTTGGCACAAAAATGCAGAAGCGCTGATAGATAGCATTGTCCGTCCATTTCTTGTTGATATTGCGGCTCACCGTCTTGCTCTTGTGAAATAAGTCGCTAACATGAGTTTTTCTGGACACAGATTCTTTTATGGGCCGCAGCGTTCGCAACAAACTGCGGGGAGGTGGCAGCAGCAACAGTCACAAAAAGCAACGGTCAGCCCGGAACCGCCCAGCCCCGGACCCTGCAAAGATGGCCAGCCGAGCTGAGGACCCGCCAGCCGGAGCTCAAGGGGAACCCGAAAACAGCCAGGCGCTTAAGGACACGCCCCCCGCACCCATCGGCTCAGAGCTCTCTGCGCTGCTGAAGGGCGAAAACCAGCCTGAAAACCCGGACGAGACGCCAGCCCTTGGTGTCTCTGGGGAGGAGGAGGATGCAGGCAAGAGGAGTCGGGACCTCGATGGGTTGGAGAAAACCGTCCAGAAACCAGACGGACCCCCCGAAAAGAAACCCAAGCGCGCGGTGCTTAATAGCGAAGGAGTAAGGGGCATTGTGCGAGAAGAGAACGGGTTCCTAATGGCAGAAACCGAAACGAAGCTGAGGGCAATGGTGCGGGAAGAGTTTTGGGCAGCCCTTGGAATCACGGAGTCGAACGCCACGTTGAAAGGCGCCCTCGCAGAAATCTACACCGCAAGCGCACGCACGCTCATCGAGGAGGCCTTACAGAAGTTGAAGTTCAACGGGCCCCTTGAAACCCCCTCATCGTCTGTCGCAGCACAGCCCCCTGTGTACGACAATTGGGCGGAGATCGGACGACTTAGCGTAATCGAGGGGACTCTTAACAGTCTGGAGGTTCTCTGCAAGACACGGGCTGACTCAGACTCGTTGCGCAAAGCCAGAAACATCCTCATGGATGTCAAGGGCGCGGTGGAAGGGTTGAAAGTGACGGGGACGAACCTGGACCACAAAACCGACACTCTTCGCAGCATGCTAGCCAGCCTCCCTGTCTCTCAGCCCCACAACGTGGTTCAACAGCCTTTCATGCAGCCGCCGTTCGCTAGCCCTTGGAACCCCCAGTTCCTGCCTCAGTCTAACCCCGGGCCCCAAGGAAACCCGGCCGCCTCTCCTCCTAACCCTTCCTTCGGCGTCTCCATCCCCACTGTAAGCGAGCCGGCCTCGACCCCTCTTGCTCCCCGGGCGGCCTCCTCTAGTCAGGCCCCGCGACCGCAAGCAGCGACAGGCCCCAGCAAGAAGGCGGATGACACTCTGTCAGTGGCAATTCGGGCCTCGGTTGAGAAGTCTAGTGGGCGCCTGCTTCTGAAGGAAGGCCTTCCTAAAACCGTTAAAGGCGGTGCTTCGCGGCGTGGGCTTCCCTGATGTTGCACTCGAGGCGCCCGACAAGTACTTCGTTATCAAGCCAAAATCGGGGGAAACCATCCGCACTTTCAAGGCCATTTTCCCAGACAACCCCGGCAAACGGGCCGGCTTCCTGCGAGTCGCAGACAGTGAGCATGTCGCGCGCAAACTAGCTGACGCTTGCATCGAGATTGGGGACTGGAGGCCCCAAGAGGAGATACAAGCGGAGCAAGGCAACAGGTTTGCCCGGGAGGCGGCAGAGGAATCGAAGAGAGCTCTCGATGAGTCAATGACGGCCCTCTTCAACGACACTGTATCGTCCGCATTGGAAGGGCTTCAGGCCACTAGCCGCCACTTTGGTAGTGCCTAGGATTTATAACAGGGATGGAAAACTAGCCGTAGCTCTGGAAGCTTATCCGTAATAGCATTTGGAACTCTTGAAAACCCTGTTGGCAACTCGATAATTTTGACGGCGTCCATATGCATATGCAACAACATGTGCCGCACACAGGCCTAGAGTTAGCTATTTTTTTTGCCAATCCTAATTTTAATATGCATTAATGCCTATTCTTCAATTCGTAAACTCGGGGGGACTGCCGCCCCCCCGAACCCCCCCGCTTCTCTCACTCCTGGACGTTCACAATTTCGTTCCATTCTGCTATAATGCATCGAGTTCCAAATCATGATGATCGAAACCGTCAATCTTCAGATCTTCCCTTGCTCCACTGGCATAGAGACATACCACATGTGACGGATTACGCTATTGATGATTCGCTACGACACTCATTCAAGCCCCTAGCGGCCGCCCCTCTCGTGATTCTCGGTACATAGCGTTTGGCTGCTCCAAGCAACCTTCGCGAGGTCGTATCATTATCGACGGCCTTCGGCCACTCGGATCGAAAGATGCGATCGCCTGAAAGCGTCCGATTATCCCAGTGGTTCCAGTGACCCGTCGATTCCTAATGGCAATAATCGATGGTTGAAAACGCCACTCCTAGGCTGTCCCCCGGGCACCCTCTCCCGACCGCCATGGAGCCTCCTTATGTAGAATAATTCCCGTGATTCTAAGGTCCAAAATTTCGCTGCTCTCTGTCCATACCGTTGCCCGAGCATTCTTAAGAGAATCAGTCTTTTCATACTAGAATTGGGTCTACGGTTACTGATTCTGAACGCCAGCCTACGAACATGGTCAACAGATTTTGCGGTCAAGCCAATGGCCTGGGCCCTGGATGGCCATCATTCTACATCGCAAGTTGACACCGAGTCTTGCCCAGTGTCCCGGAGCGAGAGGCCAGCGTCTCTGCTACCGGGGTCGCGCTGCTTGGCGCAGGCTCCAGATTTCCATAGTGTCATCTTGCATGTGGTCCCCCGAGCACCCCAGTGCTCCCTACGACAGGTTACAGTGTCGTAGCAGCCCCATGCCTTTGATGGGTACGGGCTTATGAGAAGAGAACATACTGTTGTATCGCGCCGAACATCTCACAAAAGCGTGCTCGCTGCGCCTAGTTCTCTGCAGGGGGGACTGAGTCGAGGGGCCAGGAGTCCCAGGACGCAGCGCTGTAGCTCTAGAGCCCTTCGCTACTGTAGCCAGAGCGCCCAGCTGGCTGTGTTTTTATCAGAAAAGAGGAGTCATTTACCCATCTGTTGATCGTAAGCTTAACCAAAAGGTGTGTCTGACTTCCTTGTGATTTTGGCGCGTGTGCAATCTCGAGTGGCCAGCGGAGTAGGATCTTGATTGACGGCGGGACACTGCGCGGTGTCTCCTCATAAAGGTGAGGTCACTGCTTCTGCAAGATCTCCAAACAGTACATGGCCTGCAAGTGTCAGCCGGGCTGCTTGGAACCTGCTGCCCTGCTTTTGCTTGGACTCCAGGAAGGTCAAGACGATGGCCCTTGAAAGCTTAGTGAAGCTCATGAGCACTGAGGGAAAATGATTGAACGATGTAGCGAATCAGGATTGATTTTTTTTCACAAGCGCAGTGCTTCGTCTGAAGCATTGAATGAATGCTGTGATGAGAGTCTTCGTTGGGAATCTGCATACATTAGACAAGTTTTTGTGCCTCTTCTTAGGGTCCTCTTAGGGTATTCCAACTTTGCTGGTGGCAGATGCATCGCAAGTTTTGCAGTAGATTCTGATTAGCTCGCTGCCCAAAATGTTGACCCGGTCGTTCAGGTTTCTCGCAGACGTTGCCAAAAAGAGGGGGCTTAGACTGAAGCTAGAAGCAAAGTGACCTGCTGTTGAAAGAATGCGCAATTGCGGCCAACATGGGAAGCCTTTCAAGGATGTTGTACAGTTCACAAGAGGTGTTGAACAGGCCCCTAACCAGGCCTCCATGAAATGGTTGAATGGAGCCTGTCAGTTTGCATTCCTGCCAAGCTCACTACTTGGCAACGCTCGCAGGTGAACCATGGGGGGGGGCGGTGGTCATGGTGACTTCTACTACCCCAAGGAGGTCTGGACTCCCACCGGAGGCTGGTGGTGCGACCCGAAGCACTGGCGGCGGAACACGGCGCTCGCGCTCACAGGGATCGCTCTCGTCTGTATTCCAATCGCGATGAAGTCTGTGTCTATTGAGGTGAGTCAAAGAGTCGGAGTTTTCATGTGAGTGGTCGGCGGCTTTTGATAAGCGTGGTTCTCAACTGACGTCCTGGATGTAAGGTTGTCCGTACTCCTTGACAGAGAACTGGTGGACCGCTCACAGATCGAACACGGGGCCAACTGTCGGGGGTGCCGAGGCAAACTGTCTTTCGCTTGATTTGCAACGTGTGGGTCGTACATGAGGCTTCAAGATGTTTCGTGTCAAGCTGACCAGACTCTCGAGTCTTTCTGTGGACAGCAAGTGCATGCAGATTTCTGTCGCTAGTTCACTTGCTCATATGTTCCCCACGCTCCTATCTCAACAGCAAAGGGCGGTCGCTCCAAAAGGCTGGATCCCCTCGCAGATGTGGAGTAAAAACATCCCAAAAGCTGATGAGGAATGAGGGAGTTGTTCATTGTTACCTTTCCATGCTGAGATTTTACACCAAGGTCCTTTCGAATCAAGTTTACGAGGTTGACTGCAAAGCTACAGCTGATTGCCTTCAAAGAGCAGAAGTCATTTACGAACTCTCAAATATTCGACAATCTGAGGTCGTGTAAAGCTGAAGACAAGTCCCTTTTGTATGGCGCTTTCCTTACTGGGGGATGTCCTGATACATAACAACGCCCTTTTGGTCACTTTCTGGCATGGCATCTCACTGTTGCAGACTGCTTGTACGTCAAGAAGAACTTCAACGTATTTGACAACTTTTGCATCAATGATCCTGCTTTACTGCAAAGGAAAAGCAGTAGTGCAGATCACTCCATCATGGCATACGGAACTCCTGCAATCCAACAATTGCCCGTCTGAGTTCGGTTATCAATACTTGCGTCGAACTTAGCACTCTCTTCGATCCATGACAGCGATTTAAGACGCACTAATCAAGTATCATGCCATGTTCAACGAGCGGCACATGGCCCACACGTAGCTAGGTGACCTGTACTACTCAAGTCGTAATGAAAGATCGAGATAGACCGCATGTGTACGCGTTGTACAGCCCCCCTAGCAGTGATGAGTGGAATTTTTTAAGGCATCATGTTGAATAATGGTCTATAATAGTAGCGCATACAATGATCGTCAAATGCAATGGGCATGGGCGGCCCCAAATCAGCATGGCGAATTGCTTATCACGTGGAGGCGCCTGCAGCTGATCTGCCAGCAGCCATGCGGCATGTGTGCCGCCCAACGGCCGCCAGGCCCGTCGGCCATGTCTTTTCGCAAGTGGTCACCATGTGCGGTACGTGCGCACTGCAAGGGCATGCACCGTGACGCGAGGGGCGCCCACAATGAATATATTACAAATGCGGGCGTGCACGTTGCACTGGCTCTCATTTGAACAGTCTCATGCTTATAAGGCGGCAACATTCAGTCGGCCTTTCAAATATGGATGATCAGATGCGCCTGCATGCTGCCATTTGCAGCCATATGTGGCGGCCATGATGCAGAGCGAGCCCAAAATCTTGAATCATCGATGGTGGTTAGTGCAGCATCCGGATTCGACATTTTGGAGGTGCCAGACGTTCAAGCAATCCGCGCTTGCAATATTTGCAGTCTCTGGCGGCCTTGCAAGCTGCCTTTTTGCAGCTTAAGTCTGCAGCCTGGCTGCACCGCTCAATGCACATAGTCGGCCACAGGATGTGTACAAATCTTGGCGCAGTCAAAGTAAATCAGGTGTAAGTTTGTCCCAACACTCGTGAGGGTTCTAAAAGAGGTTTGTCGTTGATTGCAAGTCGAGGCAATGACCAGAAGGGTGCAGTAGTGCAGATCTAGCCACAACAGCAGCTTACATCTACAATCCCGCTTGGATAAACCCAACAGTATTTGGAAAGAGCTACTAGTATCCAACGAAGGTCAGAGAGGTTCCTAGCGGGAGACTGCCCCAGCTCAGAGAGCTGCTCGGTCTTCATTGAATTGCTGACTTCCGTCCCTTCCACACCGTCACACTTAAACCTTTACAGAAGAAGGGCCGCTTAATCTATCTTCACCGACCCGTAGATGATCCGGACGAACCAGTAGCAGGCGTAGAACCCAATGGTGCCCGTGAGCACGAAGAAGGAGTACGAAATCATGGTCATGTACCCGAAGTACAGCACGCCCGACACCAGCTTTGTGATCTCCAGCTTGGTGAAGAAGTAGAAAGTCGCGTACAGGAACAGGTACAGCGCACTGGAGCCGCTGGTCATGTACGCTCTCCACCACCAGTGGTAGTCCTCGCTGCAGAGCTGGAAGTAGCACAGCACGATCGTGATCTCCGCGCACGTCACGATGAGGATGAGGAACACGATGAAGAGGAACCCGAAGATGTAGTAGAACTGGTGCAGCCAGATGGACGTCAGGATGAAGAACAGCTCGATGAAGACGGCGCCGAACGGCAGGATGCCCCCGATGAGCACCGAGAACACGGGCCGCATGTACCAGGCCTGCTCCGGGATCTGGCGCGGGATCTTGTTGGTGCGCACGGGGTCCTCGGGCGCAGGCTTCTTGAACCCGAAGTAGCTCCCGATGAACACAAGCGGCACGGAGATGCCGAACCAGAGGAAGACGAGCGCGAACATGGTGCCAAAGGGGATCGCGCCCGACGACTTCTCCCCCCAGATGAGGCAGTTGAGGACGAAGAACGTGCCGAAGACGATGCCCGGGAAGAGGAACGCGGTCTGGAGCGTGATCTTCTTCCACTCGGTGCCCTTGAAGACCTTGTAGAGGCGCGCGCCGGAGTAGCCGGCGAGTAGGCCCATGAAGACCCAGAGCAGGAGCATGGCCGTCATGAGGCCGCCGCGGTTGGCGGGGGAGAGGAAGCCCAGCACCGCAAAGACCATGGTGATGAGCGTCATGCCGAAGAACTGCACACCCGTGCCGACGTAGACGCAGAGCAGGCCCGCGTTGTTGGGGGGCCGGAAGACGTCACCGTGCACCAGCTTCCAGCCGGTCTCCTCCTGCAGGGGGATGGGAGTGGTTGCGTGAGTTGCAGACGAGGAGCCAAAGAGAACAAGACCGCTAGATAAGCGGAAACTTCAGACTGAGAGGGCGAACAGAGCGCTCCTGCTATCTACTCCGCTGTGAGAAGGTGCAGTAGGATTAACAGCAGATACTCTTGTTCTTCTCCTGTTGTTTGGGGCTATTGCACAAGAAAAACGTGTGCTACTGGCTTCAGAGCTGGAAATTTGGATTCTCACTGGAAACTTCCAGCATCCACTCAGACGAGACGAAAGGACAGGTAAGACGTCAGGCACTATCCCTCTGATGCTTCCTCCGACACCGTCGCCTCACAAGTTTTCTGCTTGTCCGAAACCAAGAACTGGTCCGGACAAGATCGGTGACAGAATCCTTGAAGTGTTGCCACTGCCTGCATAGCTAGTGAACTTCGAAGGACTCACACACTCCTCAAGAGCGAGGGGGATCGCGTAAAGTAATGCCTCTGCATAGCAGCCAATGTCACAAAATCCATATCTCAAACGAACACCAAAGGCAAAGACAAGTGACCTCTCTGAAGCGATGAGATCTGAAGAACGAACACCAAAGGCAAAGACAAGTGACCTCTCTGAAGCGATGAGATCTGAAGAACGACTTCGCAGAGAGGACATGAAGAATCGCAGAAACTTTCAGCAGTTTGGCGAAAGGGCTGACCTGAGCCTCGTCCTGGGACTCGAGCTGGTTGTACTTGGAGATGTCCCGGTGAAGAGTGCGCATCATGATCATGGCGACCATGCCCGAGAGGAAGAGCACGATCATGAGCGAGTTGATGATGGAGAACCAGTGGATCTGGTCGTCGGTCATCAGCAGGTATGTATCCCAGCGGGAGGCCCACTTGATGTCGCTGATCTGCAGCCAGGCAGAGACAACCAGCTTCAGTAGTAGGCCTGATAACTGCTGCATTACCTGTTCTTCCACCGGTGCTCTGTTCATTGCAGACTCGCAAAGGATTCTAATCTCCAGGTTGAGATCCCAGACCAAATAGTTTCAAAAAATAGCTGTTGGGGGCACTCCACAGTAGCAGAATACCTAGCAGGCAGCCAAGTAGACGCCAAGATAGGAAATGGGAGTCAAATAAGGGCTCTTGGGGGCACTCCAAGGGTGCAAGTCTCTTGGCTGGCCGCCAGGTTCAATTAAGCTCCTTCTTTCCCTGCCGTAATCTACGAGCTGGACAGAAGCATGAAAACACCAAAAGTCCCAGACACCCCATCCAGGCGGCACCACACGTCTTGACCTACACTGCGTGCACAGCTTTGATCCTCGCTGTGAAAAGGGCTTCAAACGCACCTTGTAGATGACATCGTAACTGAAGATAATCTCCTCGTCCTCCTCCACGATCTGCGGGCTGAGCCCGTGGGTGACATATGTCATGCTGCCGGGGTTGCAGGTCTGGAGGTGGGGCTTCAGGGCGTCCCATGGAGCCTCGTACTCATGCTTCACACTGCAGGCAGGTGGTTCAGTTGCTTAGTCCCAAGGCTGATTGGTCGCTCGCAGATCTGCATGAGGCAGAGTTGACCAATCGCCTGAACCTGCAAAGGCGTCTCTGAGCGCAGATGCAATGCATTTGATAGTGAACCGCGTTTGAGCAGCAACATTTCTCAGGCCACCTACGTTTCCATAAAAGTTCACGCTCGAGGTGCGCAAAATGGGCGTTGGCGTCACTACTGCTTCAGGGCCCTTTCGTTACTAAAGACGTCACTCTCCCACCGCCATCCAGCCCTAGCGCCGCAAGCTGGAAAGCATGCTACAGACTCCACATTTTTTTAGTGTCGCAAACCTCTGGCTGATGCATATCTAGGAAGGTCAAAATCACCTGAAAGGCTCAACCTCAAAGCCAACAAGGCGGGCCAGGTTGCTGTCATAATCCTTGTGGAACAGCACAGTGAAGCGGAGATGGTTGTGGATGAAATACTTCTCCTCGCCACCCTCCTGCAAAGTAGCACAAAGACAGTTTTGCAATCTGCCATATACGTGAAAGACCGGGGCCAAAACAAAGCCTAAAGCAGCATACGTACAACGGCGGATGCCAGACAGCACACCCAGTATATTGCACAAACTCAATGTGGCTCTGATCGAACTTTTGCTGCATCATGCTGCGCCAGACATTTTCCCAGAATTTTCAGGAAGGGCATCGACAGCCACATCAGACCTGACTCTGTGCTCTGCGATCCGGCATTCAGCTGCTCAACCCCGACCACTCCTTACAGCATCAGCATTGTTCAGAAATGTGACCCATAGGTTAAATAAGCTTCATCACCATCAGCCAGAATAAGCTTCACAACAAGGCGGTGTCTGGCGTCAGATGTGCATTATGCACGCAATCAGGCTGCCTCAAGTTGCATTGCTAATATCCTAGATCTCAAGATGGTGGCGCCTCTCTGATCAAGGGTTGGTCAATGAGCAGCTCTTGATGAGCGAGATCAATGAAACCAAGGGTGCGCAGCTCACCTCAATGGCAGCTTTGAACCCAACAGGATAACCCCTTTCGTATGTTTTGAAGCTGTTCCCGTTCTCTGTGCGGACCTTTACCATAGCCACTGGAAGATTGTCCAGAATCCTGCACAATGAGATTCAATGTGACTCCACAGGCCAGCTGATTGGACTGTCAGAGGAGTTTCTTCTCGAATTGTGAGACAGTGGACATTGGCAGACTGCAGCAGCTCAATCCAGACGTCAAGCATTCCAGAAGAGTGACTGCTGACGACGGAGTTAGAAAGAGGCACACACTTACATGTTGACCCTGTATTCGTCCTCAATCTTGTCCTTGAAGATTGCTGCATCATGCTTGGGCAGCTTGTCAATCTTGCAGATCACATTGCACTGCTCGTCCCTCCGGATGTAGAACTGAACACCACAAAGATAGCAGTTGGTTCACTTAGGGCATCAGTAGGTTTTATTTCATAAATTGCTGGACACCTAGCTTGTGCTGCGCAATCAACCGACGAGCTGCCAAAGGGTAAAACGGAATGATATGGTACCTCGTTTGATGCTCAAAGCAATGCAAACACCAGATCCAGTCATCCTCTGCGTTGTTTAAGTAGTCTGTGCAGCAAACATGAACACTGATTCTCCAGCAGAGGGCTTACCTTGTAAGGGGAGTTCTCAATCCGGTCACCTCTGAGCACCTCTCCGAGGTTCTCAGCCATGTTTATGATGCGGTCTGGCTTGCAGAATGGGAGGGAGTAATACTCATAGGGAAGCTGGGTCTTTGTGGACGTCAGCTTGTTAACTTTCAATGTCACCTCATCATCCTGCAGGTAAAACAGCATGATAAGTCAGCGCCCAACAAGATCAGATCCAGCATCACACCCAACCCCGCTACACAACCCATTTTGATCAAGACAGGATCAAGGGGTCTTGCCTTCATTGAGCAGACAGGGGTTGTCAAGAACTGCAAGCTCTAGTTCTTGAAGATTCAAGAAACAGGTTGCTAGGGGCTTGTACCTTGTCAAAATCTTGAGGAGCCACTCCCGGCAGGTAGAACGCGCTTGATTGACCCACTAGCAGCAGGAGCACCAGCAGAGAAGCTGCATAATTGATCCCCATGTTGCCTGCACGGCCGCCTACTAGCACCAGACCTGTCCTTAATTGGGTAAACCCGACAATCGCAGTCAGTGCACCGCCTGTTCACGGACAGACCGCGTCTGCAAATTGTCCTCCAACAAACCGATGGCACACCGTCCCTGTTTTGCCCCCCTTCTTCGGCTTGTCTGCGCTGCGCAGAGCTCCTTCCGCGGTTTCAGCTCTCTCCTTGCGTCCCCCCAGCTGTGACAAGAATTTGCGCCCCTTCCGAAGCACACGGTCGTTTAGCAGGTGTGACGTAAGCTTCAGTTGCGCACCACAACAGTACGTGCAACCGCGCCTAAAAAGCAGAATACGCCCTGCTTTCATGGAGAAGGAGGCAGAAGCGCGGAACTGATTCTAGAGTGACTGATCCAGTGTGTTTTCAAGTCACTGAGTTGGATCGTCAGCCGGAGGAAACTAGGTTGGGTCCAATCCGTCTGCAACATGCCTAGTGGGCAGGCTGTGCCCGCGGCCGGGTCCGACGCCGCGCAGTCTCACGTGCAGAGCCTGACGCCGTCGGACGCCTCACTCACTCTGTGTGTGTGTGTGTGTGCTCTGACTCTGAGTCTGAGGCGGCGACGGTCACCTTCGCAGGCTTGTATCTTGCAAGACAGAAACTGGACTCTGCATTGAGCAGGTTCTGGTAGAAGAGAAGAGGCGGCGGGCGCCCTTCCGACCTTGCTGACGACCATTGCTCAAAGAAGCGATCGTTTTGAGCTGGCTTCATTCCGGACCATCAATCAATCCGAGGAATGCCGATCTCCCATTTTAAGAAAAGATTGCTCGGACGAAGAAGCGAACGTCCAGTGGAATCATCGCACGCGAAAACGAGCTGCAATTGGTAAAGTGTTCTGATGTGGTGGTGTCTCCGGAAGCTTTACTACAAGCAGATTTCGAGGATCGTGCGAGGATCCGGCCCACATCCGCCACTTTTGTTTTCAAGGTCAGGGCGGATGAGCGACTGACGTGATGGGCAGGTGGTTCATCTGTACATACGCCTGCGAGGGTTTCTTCTCAAACCCACTTTGTCCTTGCTGACGTTTGATACGCAATGGATCTGGGCAGGGCCCGGGAGGAGATTTTGCGGAAAAAGGAAGAAGAAGGTAAGTGGGGCTGCCCGATGACTACTTGACTTCGTGGTGGCAGCATTGAAAACTGATGGCAAAAGCAGTTGAGCTGGCTTGTGTTGGCTTGTGTTATTGTAGTGGCATTGACCCAGTGGTGGTGTCGCCTAAACTTCGGAGGCCTTATGTTTGATCCGTTCCGTGTGAATCTCCGCTGAGGATCTCAGAAGGGGCATCACGCTGAAGCACAGTTGCTCAGAAAGGAAGGCCGCCTCTTGTCAAAGATGTCGATTGTTGCAGAAGTTTGTCGACTCTACAACCTTGCGTCAAACAGGCCCGTCCTTGACTGATTGCAGCTCTCCGGAGCAAGATGAAGGCGAGAGCGCTGAAAGAATGTAAAACCACTCTAACAGCATTTGCTGAGTGCGCTCGAGGCCGGACTATCTCCGTAGTCTGGGCTTGCAAAGCCCAATCCCGGGAGATGAATGAGTGCCTTCATCAATAGTGAGGCCGTCAACCTCCAACTTATCTTGAAACTGAAAGCCCGGTCAGATTGGACTTGGCATATCCAGCTTGTTTCTGCATTGCCTGCAAGGCATTTGAAATCATTCGCTTGTTGCAAAGCCTGCAAGGCCACCGTATAACTTTCTGTTTGCGAGGTCTTCTCTTTGCGCTGGAAAGGCCCTCAGCGGGGTACCTATTATTTAAAGCTCTACCATATATGTGTTCCTTAAAATTTTGCCGCCCACAATGTCTGTACCAAAGTGCTGATTTTGGAATGAGTTGGATTTTGTTGCCATAAAAGCCTGGAGAAGCAGAAGGAACGTCCAGCAGAAGGTTCGCTATCTTACATGCTCTCATTCGTCTATTGCAGTACCAACGATGAAGTCTTTGAACAGCAAAAGCAAGACTATATGAACCAAAGACGAGCGCAGAACGAGTCAGAATGAGGGAACTAGAGTGAAAGTTGAGCAGTTCGGCAGCTTGGCGAAGCTGCTAAGAGTATGACAACATTCAACACTATATTGGAGTTGCGGTTATCGGAGATATCCATTGGAGTTGAAAACAGATTGCAGATGCTGAATTGCCGCGTTGACTTTTCTCGTCTTAAAGTTTTATCGAAAGGTCCAGTCAAAGTCACAAGTAAGTCTTTTGATCGATCTGCTTCCGCTTTCCGTATTGAACGAGCTTCGTCCGGCGCTCTTTCGACCAGACTCAAATTGTTTATCCAGTTCGGGCTCATTACTTGGTCCTTTCTATGCATCTGTTAAACGTCTGCTCTTTTAAAGCATGCTGGTCGCTCCTAATCACTGCCGCCCGTGCAAGCTTAAGTCTGATATTGGCGCTTGGTTGCATAAAGGCTTCAAAACTCCAAGTCGAAACATCCAACGCGAAAGGTGTCGATCAATGCACAGTATCTTGTGCAAGAGCTATATGTCCACGAAATTCAGTATGAATACATATGATTGAATCGCCGCAATGGCGTGGACGCATGCGGACTCTGAGCCTCCCGATCCAAAACCATGTCCGATCTACAACTTCCGCATTGCATGATCCTTGTCGATGGTCATGCAACTTCCATGTGTATGGATCGGCCAACATGGACGGTATTGAACCGAAGTTGCAGCATGTGAAAACGACAATGGTATCAGCAGCCTGGCAGCGGCGGCCAGCTTCCAGGCATGAAGTGGCTGCAGTGTGTACACAGAGTCATTGCAAATCTCCGGTACATGCCCTTTTGACCTGATCACTGTCCCATCCCAAAATGCCAGCTATAGTGATGCATGGATTCTGACAGGATTAAAGGACGGTCAGATATCATATGAAGACAACGTGTAAACGGACTTTAAAGAGTGACCGGCCAACACTTCACATGAGTCTCAGGCCACATGCTCATGCACACAAAGGATTTTCGGATCCACTTACACTTGCAGAAGTGCAATCACTGCCTCGACTCATGAGCATCCCCGACGATGAACGTGCTGGGTCCGCCGATCTATGCAAGTAGATTGATGCAAGCCGGTTGAGGAACTGTGCTTGGAACACTCTTACTCCATTGCTAATGCCCAAACCTGAAACCATCTGCACATATCTTCAGTTCTGTAGACAGAGACCCTGGCTTGGCATGTGACAGTCCCAGTCCCTTTGAAATGTGAGTGCGGCCTCAATTGCACCTTGGTCTGATAGTTTCACTGGCAACCAGCCTTGTGCAAATACTTCAAGTCTTGATAGTGCTCAGTCCAGACGCGCGGAAGGCAATGGTACACTTGCACTTCCTGGAAATGAGCGGGCAATCTCCAGTTGCGATTGATTGAATGGCAGTCCCAACACAATGACGGCAAACACGGCAGACCGGCGCGTGTGCAAAAGCCGATGGACAAACCTGTTTATAACTGTACAAGTGTGCTTTCCTATCTAGATGCCGCCAGTGGCCTTGAGGCCAAGGACGATCCCGACTCCAATAACGTGTCCTAGGGCGCCTGAAGCGAACACATCAGCGATTGTGAACCCAGCAGGGTCACCAGTGGAAAGACCGGGGTCCTGGTCAACTAGTTTCAACCCAGCGGTGGCTGTTCTGCTGGCTGAAGGTGCAAGTCCGAATCTGCCGGCGACTAGGAGAGCAGTGGTAGAGCCAATCATGATCTGCAGGACCACCACTTGGAGTTGTCAACAGAAGGGCAGTTGTTCTGTACATTCTTATCTGAAAGGCGCAATGTACAAATGCAAGACGGTCCGCTACGTAGGCGGTTCCTGAGTCTTGCTAAGAAATCAGAGGTGTCAATGGTAGCGCAGTTATCGAACATGGCGCCCCTGAGCTCATGGACTCCGGTTGAGAACAACAGGGGATTAGCATTACACATACCATTTAGAGATATCATATAGGGCTTCATGTCACAGAGAAAGAAGCAACTTGACTCGTTGCCCTAGCACGGAATGCCTGACAACACTTACCAGGTTAGTGGCGGAGCCCAAGTACCCGCACTGCACCCCCTGTGCTTGCCTCCGGCTCGGGGTGTAAAGAGCCTGCATCCAGTTGACCAGATTTCAGTTCCATCTTGTGGGTGTACAGCAGTTACAATAAGAGCACATTAACTAGCTATGTGTCCTGAATACCGATTTGATCCCTTATCTCCAAGAGCATTGCGCCGCCCTCCGCCTGGAAAACCCCTTGTGGAATTGCATTCTCAACCTGCTGATTTTTGTAGGGGCACAGTAGAAAAACAAAAAGGCACCTTACAATCTTCATTGATATGCATTCCAAAAAATGAACTTGCTATATCCTGTAGTGCTGCTCTTGCCTTGTGCAACACTCCGCTCCTTACACCTCTACCCTCTCAGTTCCCACTTGCAATTTATACCCTCTACAGCTGCCAACCCAATTCAATTGCTTGTATTCCTTCTCCGCACTCAAGGTTTGGACCTACATTGCTCACCTTTGATGGCACCTTCACGAAAGCTGCCTGGGGCCTCAACCCAGTGAACTCCTTGTTCAACGACTTTGAGAGGGAAGCATGCGACACAGCGCTGCGGGTGGCAAGAGCAGAGGACGCCATTGTGCCCGAAGATTGACCTCACAGAAGCTTCCTTGGCGCCCTTGAGAAAATCTCTGTATTGACAGCAAAAAACAACAGGGAACGACGAAAATTGCAATGCTGCAAAAGATTCAGAGAGCCCTGTGTAGCAGGCTTGACCGTCCTGCTTCGCGAGGCGCTGGAAAATGACTGGCTCTCCGGCTATCCGTTCGAGATTTGCAGCCAATCAGAGATTTTAGAGAAGAGCAGAGAAAAGCGTGTTCAGAATGTTCGACGGGACGTGATTCCCTACCCTTGCATTGAACTGCCTGCGTGTCTGCTGTCGAATCAGATACAAGGGCGGAGTTGACTTATTTTTCAACTGTTCGGGCCGGACTCGAAGCAAGGCCTACCGGGTGGCCCGGCCGCGCGGGCGCGTACGGTAAGGCTATGCGCGGTGGCGCGCATGCGTGCGGTCAGAGCAGGGCCCAGAACATTCTCTAGGTACAGTAGCTACCACGGTACTTATGCTAGTGCGCTCAGTGCAGTCACTTGTTCACACAGGCTAAACTTGATTAGACATGCTGCTTCGTTGTTGTCGCTCGATAGTTTGCCAACCAAGACATATGTTGATGATCTTCAACGTCCAAAAGTGCCCATCTAATTTGCGCCATGCCATGATGGGCCTCTACATGTGCCTATAAGGATGTATTTCACAGAGGTTCGATGCAACTTTTCGACAACAGCGCTTAGGCTGCCGCGCCCGCCTGAAAAACTTATACGCATCATAACGATGCTATGTAGCTATAGGCGATCCAGTATGCACTAAATGTCGCGCATATTACAGGATTCATTAGCATATGTATGCGGCTAGAGCAGGTGCGTTACACTAATACTCTATAGCTAGAAATGGAGCATATATGATGGAGTTTTTGAGTTGCCTCGCAACGTACGTACTGGCTTCATCTACAAGCACCTCGTCGAGCATATAGTACACGTTGCCCAAGCATATTAAATCGAACAACCTAACCGCATCAAGCCAGTACTAAACTTGAAACGTATGACGGGCAATCGAAACGAACAGTCACAATAAAAAATTCCACTTGAAAAGCGTGCGCCGGCCTGTCAGGACTCGTTCCTCCTTCCAGGAATGACAATGGGAGAGTTCGTTGTCCGTTTTGGGGGTTTCCGAAGTAAGGGAAGCCGCGAAAAGGTCACCCCATTTCCATCTCTCGGCTCTTTCACTACAACGACTTCTAATTCTTGGTCTAGCGTTACGTGATCCTTGATCGAGGTAATCTGCAGGCGACAAGCAGAATGCATGAGATCCTTGAGAGTCTATCGTATGCGTTCAAGGAACCTAACCGCACGCAGTACAGGTTAAACGGCGTGCTATCGGCCCAATACCAACGAAAATTGACGTCCGGCCCGCGTGCAATTTGTAATTGACAAAGACAAGACAGCACGGATTCGGCAAGCAAACGCCTTGTAAAGAGATGTTTGTGCTCCAGCATCCGGATTTGTCAACTCGAAAGCACCCTTTTCTGGATTTTGCGGCTAAGTCTGGGGCAACAATAAGCCGGTCATGTAACTGTGTGGCTCGTTCCTTCAAACCATACGTGGGTCATTCGGCAAGCATGAGTAGAAAGCGCAGTGTGGAGTCGTTAGAAGTTCACGCACCAATTGAGATGTGTCTAAGTCGGATGTACAAACAGAACATGTTGCAGCGACACTGACCCATACAGGAAACGTGAATCTAGTGGTAGATATTACAAGAGCACGACCGTTTAATTTGGGCGGAGTCCCCGAAGTTGTATTTTTCGGCGGTATTTAAAGTTCGTGCTCGTGTCCGTCTCTCGACAAGATTGCGACGCACTCCACTCCACCCGGCAAAGCACCGAAGAAATGTGCAGAGAAGCAGCATCCAGAAAGACGCCAAGTTCACAACACCAAAACAACCCTCAAATCTACAAACTCCAAGCACAGCGGTCGCGGACTTACGAATCCGTGCGAAATCTGCGACACGTGTAGCAGCCCCTGCTCTCCCGTCTCTAGTTCCAAAAACGCGCCGTAGTCCCGCACCGACACGACCTTCGCCCGGTACGTCTTCCCGAGCTCCACGTTATCTTCGGTTATCCTCCGAGTCGGCTCTCGCCGGGGGGTCCCTCCCTCGCCCCTTTCAGCGCCGGATGGACCGTCCCCCCGAAAACTGGAGTATGAAAGTCCAAAATGATGATTCACGTTTCGTTTTGGTCTTTACTCTCCGCCAGTCCGGCCAGGGAAGGGACGTATACTCTGAATCCCACCAGAATCCAAGTGCTCTATCTTCTCAAAAGGCGTGGCAGTTTCAACCTCACTCACAAAGACCATTTCATTTTAGTCCCACCTTTCCAAAAGATTCCCTTCCGAGTCCAATATCTCCAGTTCCGTCGGCAGGTTATAATTTCAATAACCGGAATCCTCACCTTGAACTACGGTAAGACGAGCTTGCATCGGAGTCACTGCCCGGGGAATAGTCTTCCGAGTCGCTGCTGCCTGCGGAATCCGCCCGGTTGAGGGCCTTTATGGACAACCGGGTGTCGCCACGAATGTTGCGCCCCGTGCACAGGACGCGCACGCGGTCGCCCTCGCGCATCACGTCCTCGACTCGCTTGATCTGCAGACGAGAGGCATGGGTTAAGCGAGGGTTACAGAGGACAAAAGGATATTAGCATGCTCTAGAGAGGGTTACGGAGGACGAGAGGATGTGCATGGGTTAAGAGAGGGTTACAGAGGACGAGTAGATAGGCATGGGTAAGAGAGGGTTACAGAGACCGAGTAACTAGTTATGGGTTAAGAGAGGGTTACAGAAAACATAGTAGGCATGGGTTAAGAGAGGGTTACAGAGGACGAGAGGATAGGCATAGGTAAGAGCGGGTTACAGAGGACGAGAGGACGTGCATGGGTTAAGAGGGTTACAGAAGGGTTGGAAAGCGTCCTTGACTTGCTCGATCGGCGAAGAAGCAAAGCGTTATGGACGATCTAGAAAGTTCGAAGAGCTGGTTGCGAAAGCATCCTCGACTCGCTTGATCTGCAGAGAATGTGCATCAATAAGAGCTGTTCGGATGTGGAACGGAATGTCAGGTAAAAGCGCGTCCCCGACTCGCGTGCTCAACGGGCAAGAAAATGGCGTACGGCATGAGAAGAATTAGGAACTGGCAAAGCGAACTGTTAGAGGATCTGCGTCCTCGAAGCACTCAATCTCGCGCAAGAACATGTGTGCATGCCGTCAAAAAGTAGGGATTAGGAAGGGAGAATGTGAGCAAAGAGACGGCCTCGACTCTCTTGATCTGCAGACCAGAGGATGTGCATGGGTTGGTTCAGAGATGAGGGGGTCGGCAAGGCGGCTTGTTGAAAGAACACGCGTTTTTTACTGGGCTAATCTGCAGAGAGTATGAGGGCAAGCGTGAATCTAACCAGAGAGTCATAGGTTTTAGTGTCAAGTGGACTGATCCAACTTCGACTCGTTCGACTCGCGGACGACAAAAGGAGCTGCTTTAGAATCACAAAAATGACAGCAAGTTTCCATAAGAACAAACGGCCAGAGGATTGCGTCGTGTTTACTGACGTAAGCAACTTGGCGTATGGCCAACACTGTCTTTCAAGCGCCGGTTCACGTTAACCATGGTCTCAAGGGTGCCTGGGCTTTCAGGGACTGTCTGTTTTTCTAATCGTACGATTTTAAATCTTCACGGGGGTCTGGTTTGACGAGTTTAGGGGTCTTTCGTTTCGGGTTTTTAGAGATCCCACCTTTCCGAAATCTCCAATACATGCAACAGGCCCTCCTGCTTCTCCTTAAGCGTCTTTAAGACTGAAAAACCCCTTCGCCATAAAACCTGAAAACCTTGAACCCTAGATAGACGAATCGGAACCACTAAAACCCGTCAATCCGAAACCCACCTTGTTTTCTGAGATCTCCGAGATGTGCAGCAGGCCCTCCTGCCCCCCCGTCCCGTCCAGCTCCACCAACGCGCCGTAGTCGCGCACGCTCGTCACGACGCCGTCGTACACCTTGCCGATCTCCACGTCCTTCCCGACCGCCATCTCAATCTGAGGGAATTAGGAGTGCTTTAGGATCGCTTTCAAGTATAAGAGGATGTATGGCAAGACTTTGAGGTGAGGAACAAGCTGAATCGTACACCTTGCCATATTCCACGTCCTTCCGGACCGCCGTCTCGATCTGGGGCAATCCAGAAAAGGAACGGGTCGGAATCGCTTCCAGGTTTAGGAAGAGTCTGGCAGGTTGAGATGTTTTGAAGTAAAGGATCAGACTGAGTCGTACACCTTGCCAATTTCCGCGTCCTTCCCGACTGCCATCTCATTCTGGAGGGGTTAGGAATGAATCAAACTTGCGCTCAGGTCTGGAACACTTAGATGACTTTGAACTTACGGAGAAAGAACAAGCCGATCTCTAAGCCTCCTTCCCGACCGCCATCTCGATCTGGGGAGATCCGCAATACAATTGACAGTTGCATGTTGCTTTCTCGAATGAATAGCTTTAGGGACACATTCCACAGCTTTGATTAAAGAGTACAGAGAGAACACCCTGAGTGAGATTCCGGAATACCCTTTCGAAAGTATCGCGAGGTTCTTTTGACTAACTGATGCAAATGCCACTGGAAAATCGCAAAATTGCTAAATCGTGTTCTTTGGGAGCTCAGAAGTATGGGGAAAAGCACAGAAACCATGTGAGGAACTATCGGTGGGCTTGACTTCCAGACGTTACATGGTCACAGAAAGGAACGTCAAGAGGATACGGACAAACAATCGTGGGGCAACAGTGCAGAGACCCGTACCAGATGCCGCGCCAGGTTGAAGCTGGCCGTGTCTTTGGCGAAGATCTGCACCCCGCCGTCCTCGACCTTCAAGCGCGCCCCTGCATCATACCGCAAAGCATATATTTCTCAAGAAAGATAATAATAAGCCAAAATAATAACGAGCTCCGACTAGCACCTAAAACCCCAACCCAAAAAGATACCTGCTCCGCACCCTTACCCACCCTGACCACCAAACTAACCCTACCCGTCTCAGTGCGGTTACCTTATCATTCGGCTCGTTGTTATTTTTCTCGAATTCAATGCAGAGCATGAGCAATGTCTACGCTACTCTGTAGAATCTCCGTTGAGCATAGTTTCTAGGTCAGTTTCAAACCCTGAACACTAAACAGCCGAAGGGCGCTCACCGCTCTCTGCCTGGATGCCTTTGATGGTCGCACCGAGCGGCCCGATCACTTTCCCGAGCGATGCCCGGTCCACCGGGAGCGTCGCAAGGCGCGGGTGCGAGTCCTTGGGCACCTCACGCGGCTTCGCAATCTCCTGCTCCATCAAGGTGATAACCTGCAAAACAAAATGGGTTAACGAAAAGGGTAAATAAAGGGAAGAAAACCCGATGAGACATGTCACCAGAAAATGTTTACCAATGGTTGTGAATCACAACTTTGCAATCTCCTGCTCCATCGCGGCAATGACCTGGCAAGAAATTGGGGTCATCGAAGTGAGTTGCAAAGGGGCGGTCAGTGATGGAAGGTGTCATCAGAGGGGTTCAGAGGTGGGTTACGGTCCACGGCTTGACAATCTACCGCTCCAAAACGACAGTAAAGTCCAAGAAGATCGCTGTTTTGGAGAGGGTATTGAAAACCTTCGGCTTGTGATAAGAGGTGTCAAGCACCTGAGCGTTTGCGGATGATTACTTGGAGTGGACATACAAGGCTAAAACCGAAGCACCTTTCGGTCAACACAGGGAACCAGTTGTATTAACGGCTCGAGAAGTCCAAAACTGAATACCCCAATCAAAACCAAAACCCACATACCGCACCTTGCTCCGTGCGTCGTGTGCCGCGTTGAACCCCTCCACTGGACTCTTCCGGGAACTGCCTCGACCCCAAACCCGAAACGTCCAAAACGAATTCTGATGCCACAAAAGCTCCTGTCTCAGAACCTTAAACCGCACCTGGCGCCGGGAATCTTGCGCCGCATTGAGCTCCTCCACCAAAATTGTCAGGGGACCCCCTTTAACCTCTAAACCCCCAAACCCGAAATCTCCAAAGTGCCAGGTCCCTGACGGATCAGAGAGCCGTCAGCAACATCCACACCCATCACAATCCAAAAGTACGACAGGTTTGGCAATGCACCTTCCGTCGCGCGTCCTGCGCCGCACCCAGCCCCTTCAACTGAATCTCTGAATCTCCAAAGGAATCGTCCCTAAAGTCCGGAATACCAAACCTCCAATTTCCCCACAGACCTTCAAATTCCCTACGCACCAAAACCTCCCTGAACATCCTAAGCCAATCATAACCCAAAACCCCAAACTGCACCTTGCGTCGCGCATCCTGCGCCGCATCCAGCCCCTCCACCAGGATCTCCAGGGGGATCCCCGGCAGCTTCATGTCCAGCTGGATCGCCGTCACGCCGTCCCTAGTTCCCGCCACCTTGAAATCCATGTCGCCCAAATGGTCCTCTAACCCCACGATGTCCGTGACCAGCTTGTAATTTCGGACGGTGTTGTCGGCATCGGTGTCCGTGAACAGTCCGACGGACACGCCCGCCACGTGTTTGGTGATGGGCACGCCCGCGTCCATCAGCGCAAGGCTGCCTGTAACAGAAAGAGTGTTTTAGATTTCAGTTTAGCCGTTTCCACGGGTACGTGTCGGCTTTCCGCGCGTTCCGTCAGATCTCGTCGATATTGTTAAAAAGAAGGCCGTGCGACTCTGAAATGCGAGCATAGGCTGGTCGAGAGACCAAGGCCGCCTGCGAGAGCGAAATGCCTTTTGGCTTCGAATAAGCGAAGAGCATCACAGTCACGCTGCCTCGAGAAGTTTTGATGCCGTTTCAGAGCATAATCACGAAGGTTCGTTGTGGGGATGAGTAAGGAACCCTGATAAGTCAGAGCGTACAGAACGGTGTGGCCTTAGCTTGGGATGACTTGACGTGTAAAATTTACCGAAAAGGACCGGCGAGGCGGAAGAAAGAAGGCGACCACGACAAGTAAGGGGCGGAGTCAGAAGCAAGTCCAAGTGCTGCGGGCTCCTCTCCGCAGACAATCGCACCAGATTGGTTCTGAAAATGCAGAGAGAACAATCTTTGTGGCACCAAAATTGGGTCAGAGATGTGAAGAGACGATCCAAAACCCACGAACCGTTTCAAAAACGCTGTGATTGGAGAAGTCGGCACGGAGAAGAGAACTGGAATAATGAAAGGGGGAAAGCCCAGGCTCACCTCCGCAGACGGTGGCCATGGAGGACGACCCGTCGGAGGCTGTGCATTCGGACGTCACCCGGACGGTGAACGGGAAGGCGTCATCGTCCGGCATCACGGCCGCGAGCGCCTTCTCCGCGAGCATGCCTGGACGAGAGCACGTGACGTCAGCATCCGTTCTTTAGACATCGAAGAGAGCATGCCTGAACAGGAGCACGCAACGTCAGCCGCCTCACTTCGTTCAGCAAAAAGACCATGCCTGGTCAGAAGCACGCAAAGGCAGCGTTTAATTTTGATTAGCAAAGACCATGTCTGAACAGGAGCGGGCAAAGTCAGCGTTTGATCCAGTGGAAAGAGGAGCCCATAAGATGGGGATTGTCAAGTAGGCAGCTCAGAAGCTAACGCGCGTACTCAAGGGCGTAGTTTGCTTCGAAGCACCACAACTGAAGCTGACTTGCTGCTGATAGGAGCATCTTGAGATGAGCACCGCCAATCCCTATCGGTTCCCTTCACCTGTGCCCTTTCCAAGTCCTTTCCCGAATCAGTCCAATAACGAAGTAGCAAACGTGGGTGATCCGCCAGACGTCCATGAGATTTTTCCCAGCGCCACTCAGGAGACTCACCCGTTCAAGTGAAAAAGCAACTTTAACCGAGCCTTTAGAGCCAAATTTATACTCACCGTGCCCCACCTCCCGTCGGTTGACCGCCCCAACTCGCTTCACCTCATTCGTCGCATACGGGGGGAACGAGTAGTGCAGCATGAACCGCTTGGAATCCGGGCCGCCCATCGTGTCTAGCTTCTGCGCGTCTAGTACGGAACCCAGGGTTACGGTGCAAACCACCTGAGTGTTACCCCGGGAGAAGAGGGATGACCCGTGCAGGGCCGGGAGAAAGTCGGCCTCGCAGTGAATGGGGCGGACTTGGTCGAGGGGACGGTGGTCGGGGCGGACCCCCCGGTCGATGATGTTGCGCCGGATGATCTGGAAGAAGAGGTTTGTGGAAGTATTGATGAGTGCTGTGTTATGTGGAAGGAGAGTTTGCCGGACCTTCAATGGATATCCGAAGAGATGCGGCAGCCGAAGAGATGCGGCAGGAAGGACGATCTGAAGGGAACTTAAGGAGATCATGAAAGTTCGGTACTCTCCTTCTAAGCGCAAGGAGATTGGAGCTTGAGAAACAACGTAAAAGACGAGTCTGCAAGTGTGCCGATGAGGGCCTTCCGACTGCGAGAAAAAATGTTGGGGGCAAAGGACAATCTGGTAGGAGGTTCTTCGAAAAACGGACAAAGAGCTTTTTGGGTGCGGAAAGCTTTTGGCCATCGAACGCACGTTCATACTGGAAAAACAGTGCTTACCCGCCACTTGAGCTCGTCGAACGCGAGGGGCAGCTTCTGGACGGCGTCCGCATCGCCCGCCTCCTCAAACTGCGCCCTCACCTCCTGCTCCACCTCCGCCAGGGCCTTGCCCCGCTCTTGCTGCAAGGAACAAGCACAAGATTGAGTTTGAAATTGTTCTTCAATGTTGTTTTTGGTTGTTGATTTTGTTTCACTTGTTACTATCTGTTCCGTTGATTTTTTGCTACTGCGGTTTGTTGTTGTTTGTTGTTGTAATGTAGATAGAATTTGTTCTTTTGTTTGACTTTGATTTTCATGTTTGTTCGTTTGTTGAATCGGTTTTGATTTCAGAGCAAGCCGCGTCACTCTCTGACGTTCCCGGCATGCTACTTCGGCTTCAGAGCAAGCCACGTATTCATGAAGAAGCCTTGGAAATGGTTAGCGCCTGCTGCAAGGAACAAAACCATGGATCATCGCAAGCGGCGCAGTGTTGTGAAAAGACTTTTAAATGTTCCCACGAGCTCGTTACGCACAGGCAGCCGACACGAGACGCTGAAACCGAGTTGGGTAGGAGATACGACCAACCAAACCACAACACGTTCACCCCAAGAGAAAAGCACAGGTCCAGTGACATCTGGATTGAGAACCGCCAGATGTTGACTGAAACGAGAAGTTGTAAAGTTCGAAGTTTTAAAGTTCGCGCTAATATCCAAGTGACGTCTCCAGCGGCCTCTGCGACTCGCGAGGAACGAGTCGGTGTAGCGCTGACAGCGATCCAGCGGTCCGCTTTCAGCAAACACTCTCATTACGTTTACTCGTACTCAAATCCAAAGACTGTGAACATTCCCCACCTTTCCATACGACGGGTCCTCCATGATCGCGGAGATCTTGGCGCCCGCCGCTTCTCGTATCCGCTCCACCAGTTCCTCCGAGATCTCTTCCAGCATGCGCTCCCGCTTCGCGTGGTTTACCTGCTGCGCCAGTCGACGCTGTACGTCCAGAACCTTTTGGGCCTGTGGAACAACTGGCAAATGGTAAGCTCGAGATGATGGAAAGCTAGGAGTATGATCCCACACCTTTTGAGCCTGTTGACAAAGTAGCATTTGTTACTTCCAAGGATCTTGTAAGCTCAGAAGCTGAGAAGGAAGATGTAGGGGGTGGAAGGGACTGAAGGATGCAAGTAACTGAAGCGTTGAACACTTTTGGGCCTGTTGATAGAAGTGGCAAACAACAAACTCAAAAACAAATGGCGTTCAGGGATCGAAGGGACGGGAGGAATCAAGTGTTGACGTCCGAAGATTCAGCTTTTTCCTGGGTTTGGACATAGAATGAGTAAGACGCTTAGGGAAGGCGCTCGGAGGCAGGCGCTGCTCTGCGTCCGAACACCTTTGGGCCTGTTTGTAAGGAGCGGCATGTCAGCTTTTGACTGAGAGTTGAGAACACCGTAATTTTGGTGGTAAAAAGCATATCCAAGTAATCGCCTTGTCCAAGGATGCATTTGGAGCTTCGACATCCGTAGGAAAGCCCTTGGGGAGGGGCTGGGGGGATTCGTCGTTCGGGGCTTGGCTTTACTATCCGACTCCAGAGTGGGAATCCAATTGAACGCACGTATCCAAATCTACCCAAGAACCGCTTCTGATGCCACCCTCCAACCAACTTCACAAGAACTTTTCAATTCTGGAAAACCGCATACGAAAGAGCCACGAGCCGTTTTGGGAACTCAGCTTAGATGCGAAGAAACATCTTAAGTCCGCATTCAAACCGGCTCACAGACCCACCTCCTGATGCGCGAGCCGCAGCGCCTGCGCCAAGTCTTCGTTGCTGATCTCCTTCGCTTGCACGTCCATCATCACGCAATCCCGCTCTGTGCCCGCATAAACCAAGCTCAGATCCGTTTTGCCCCAGTCCTCTAACCCCGGGTTAACCACTAACCGGCCGTTGATGCGCGCGATTCGGACCGCCCCGACGGGCCCGTTCCAGGGGATGTCCGAAATGGTGAGAGCGGCGGACGCGCCGTTGATCGCGAGGACGTCCGGATCTTGGGAGCCGTCCAAACTGAGCACGTTGGCCAGCAGCTGCGACGTAACGTGTCGGCCGTCAGTTTCAGCGACTCATAATGTGCTGACGTCATTGTTGGTGATAAGCATCTTCTCGTCCTCCTAGCGAGTAAACCTTGTACATTTACTATTTTCATTTGGCGGTGACGACTTTAAGGCGCTTTGCAAGGGTTCAAGTGCTCTTAATTGTCCACTGGATCCTGTTGCAGGGATCGCTCAACTGATTAATAGCACCACCGTTGCGTATGTCAGGACGGAAGATTGGTCTATACTGTCGGCCCACCACCGGTACAGTATCACCCCACCCTGGAGTCTTCGTCTAATCCCTCGCTGACCCGCTTAACTGTTGCCGTCGAGTTTGACTTGGACACTGATCAGACGCATCCCGATTTACCCGCAAACAAAAGGGAAGCTCGAAAGAGCGAAGAGGACAAACGATCTCGTGGCAATCTCACCTGCGTTTCGCAGTAGAAGCCCTCAGGGAAGAGCGGCCGCATCGCCCGGTCGATCAGCCGGCTGCACAGGAGCTCCCGCGTCTGGGGGGCACCCTCCCTGCGGAAATAGCCCCCCGGAATCTTGCCTTGGGCGTAGTCCTTCTCCCGGTAGTCAACCTGCCAAAAGTGGGTCAGCGAGCCGTTACTTCATAACGCAATATGAATGATTAGCGCAGAGTCTTGCGCTGATCTGTGCACACCAGCTCGGGCGTTGTCGCCCTCTGCATCTTCATGACGGCTGTCACGCAGAACCTTAAGGATCTAGAATCTTTCATTCTTTACTCCATCTTGTGAGTTGACGCTATGCAGGCGCACAGGCTTTACTCCCGCGATCAAATGTCAAGCAGTGCCAAAGCCCACCCTTGACACACATAGAGTAGTCACTCAAAACTGGCTTTTGTTGATGTGTCAGTAGAGCTCCTCAGTCCCCTCAGAAAGAGAGATTCTGTGGTCTTGACAACAGTTCTTCGTGTCTGACGAGCACAGTGTTCCTTCGTTCGGCTCTGGCGAGCACTTCTTGTCAAACCGGGGCGCTTTGATATCGTTCGAGAGACAGCTTTTAAATCTCCCCACCCATGACTTTTGTGCCCATCATGAAGGGAGACTATCATGTCGTTGTGCTACCTGCAGATCTCGTTGAGATGAGCAGCGTTTTAGATCGTTCTCCAGAATGATCATGGTAAGCTCTAGTTTTAGTACTGGGACGGGTAGGGTTGGTATGGAGGTTAGGGTGGGTACAAGTGCGGAACGGGTGTTCATTTGTTAGCTTGTTCTTACTATAACTTGAGCTTACTAGATCTATTCTAGAAAAGTCTGCCTTCTAGGACTCACCGTGAGCGGAAGAAACGACTGGGCAGAATCCATGCGTCTGCTTGCAATCGCTGTGCACAGCACTTTAGTTTCATTGAAACCAACCACCACCGCTGCGTCCGCCAAGCGCGCCAGCTTGCCCGTCTCCAAAGTGAGACTGCCGCCCTCGATTGGCGCCGTCTCTTTGAACGACTGCCCAACGGCTGAGGAAGAAAGAACTCCAAGGGAAGAGTCGGGTCAGGATGATGAGGAGGTCGTGTTTGAGTCATCAGAACGATGTAACGCGGTTGCCAAGGAGTAGAATAGTGCATGTTTGAGACGAAGGCACCACTCTTGCCGGGCGCCATCCCCATTTTAACTGCCCGGCGGCTTGCAAAAAAGTGCTCCTCGGGGTGGAAATAGGGGGCGATTATCGGTCGTGCACTTGATGGTGCGGTGGTGCAAAAGAGTTTCAACTTATAAGGCTGTATACCCCTTGAATAAGGTCCAGAGTGGTGAGTACCATATGATTAAGGGTTGGTTGGTTTTTGCCATTCTCTCGTGCTTTTTATCATAAACTTGGGCAATTCTTGGTGGATTGTTCTTTTTAAGAGAACAACAAAAGAGTACTTTGTGAAGCATGCGCACGGTGAGTTAAGGAAGAACTACTGGCCACGGCATTTCAGACCCTGATGACAAAAATAATCATGACTATGCAAATGAAGAAAAGGTGGTGCCATCTGAAGAACGGCAAAGCAACCAACTTCACTGAGACCGATCTATTACTTGCAAACGGTCATTACCACTACCATACCACCATTGTCAAAAAGCAACTCCCAACGGCGTCAATTGTCTGCATAAATGCTCTACCCAGCCTGATTCCGCCAGATTCAGCGAGATCTATCATAAGCGCGGCTAACCAGACCTCTGAGGAAACAGGTATTAGGTGGACCTAGCCGAGGCGCCCTCATGCACATACCTGGGTACTGTCGCCCCACCGGGGTCTCAGCCGCCTCTGGCTCCCCGGTGGGTTGCGCCGAAACGCTCGCGAAGCCCCTCGTATGAAACTGACCGAGCCCATCCTGCGCAAGAGATGGAACCTCAAACCCGCCCACAGTTGCAGCATTCCAGATCCGCACGAAAAGACACAAAGCCCGGTCTCCAAAATCAGAAGTACGACAGGTGGCAATCAAAACGGTGGTGCACTTGCGCTTGAGCTTGCTCAGCTCTATGTAATCCCCAGGAGACTTTGTTTGCTCACCGTAAAAGGGTCCCGGCGCAATGAACCGCTCAGGGCTTTGTGCGATTGCCGTGCGCCGTGGCTGAGTCGCCCCGCCTCGGCAACGGCCCCTGGCCGTCCCCAAACATGTGCCACCAGCGCCAGGCAACGCCGCCGGGCCTGCGCCGAGGCCATGGCAGCGGAAGACGAATAGCGTCCTTCAGTAGAAATCTTCTGAATCTTTAATCAACTTTCCGCTTCAATCGTTCAAGTTCAGGCGTCACGGAATATCAGAATATTCAAACCGTTACTAGGGGTTTGAAAGGGATATAGCGGCCGGCTGCCGCGCGCGTGCGCGGCAGCTAGCCTCGACTCGGACTCGACGTTCGCGGGGAGTCCGGTCGGCACCGGGCCCGGGGGTTGAGGGTTTTGGGATTGAATCGGACGGTTCACATCGCATGATCTCACCGGAAGGAATCACACTGGGGGATCACCCAGGGAGAAAGAGTGAACAGGGTTTTTGAACAAACACCAGCAGTAGCCTGATTCAGTACATAGTCACGTCTTGATCTTCAAGTTGAAGGTAGATCACAAAGAGTCCAGACGTGATTTGGAACCCCGCACATGAGCTGAAGGGGAGTGCTGGCTTTGCTTTCGCTCTTGCAAGGAGCCGCGGCCGCTGCGAGCACGTCGTCGCACCGCATGCGGACATGGCCGGCCAAATGACGTCTGGCAATCCAAGTGTGCAAGTCCTGCAATTCTTCGTCAAAAACCTCGACGGCGCGACCCGTGTGCTGCGTATGGACCCCAAAATCTGCATCACTGACGTCATCAGAACAGCGCTGCACGACGAGCCCCGCTCGGTGGTCTGCCAGGTGCAGGTCAAGTATAAAAACAGGCTTGTGCCGTTGGAACGAACTCTGGAGCAAAGTGGTGTCCAAAATCTGGACACTCTGCATTTGACCGGATGCCTCCGGAACTGGAGAAGCAAAGGCTGGCAGCGAGCTTTCGAGCTGTTCCGACGAGTCCGTGACTGCTGCAAAGATGCGCTCGCGGGGGGCAAAGCTGAAATGTCCGAGCTGCCAAAGTGGCTCAAAGACTTTCTTGAAACTGTGAACAAGGAATGCATTGCAAGCGAGCAGCAACTCTTGGGGCAGATCATGCTCGAGGAAGGGGGGGTAGCCCAGCTGGCGGGGTGCGTTTTGGGACACACTGTGAAGCATCCAGAGGCGAGGTGAGCGAGAGCAAGGCAAGCTTGTTCACAAGTATTGGCCCTTTGAACAAGGTCTTCCCCCTATATTTATTCATCTTCCTTTCTTTGCTCAAGCGAGCCATGGGGTTAATCCACTGGACGTGTTGTTCAATGATGGGAGAATTTTGTTGCGCCGAACAGACCACAGCTGTTCTAGCCTGTGCATGTCTCATTCTACAGACTGGCTTGGAAACTGAGGTGGCCAAGTCTTCGAATGGGGAAGGGGATCCTTTTTGACTCGCTGTGGTCTCAGAATAAGATGAATGTATGCGAGGACCAAACAATGTGTGAATGTTAGATGTGTTCAAAGGCTTGCAGTTCTGAGGAACCAGGTTATGATGCATGTGTTTTAAGCTATGTGCTGGTTGCCAGCAGAGAATATCAGGATACGGTAACCGCACTGGGACGAACAGGGTTATGTTTGGGGTGGGTAAGGGTGCGGAGCAGGTATTTCCTTCGGTTGAGCTTTCTGTGAAAGTCAAAGCTTATCCATTTCCTGTCTTATTTTCTGAGTTTCATCTGACGGCGCTCTGTTGCTCGCAGTGTGATCGCCGTACAGCAGTGCATCATCCACATTCTGCAAAGCTGCGCCTCCGGCCTGCGGTCCACAGTCTTCCACGTGGCAGGACCTCTCTTCTGGTCACTCCAGGAGCCGCCCCTGCTAAGCCACGGGCATTCGGATGCTGTCGGACGCTTTTGGAAGGATTTGGCCGCCCCTGGTGTCCGAATCAATTTGTCCGAAAACGCATCCCTCCTGACGGCCGCTCTGCGCCGCGTGCTTTCCCACGGTCAGCATTCGGACGCCAGCAACAGGATCGCCGTCCAATTGTTTTGCACCCTCATTCGGACCGTCCGAAACCAGCTGTCCCTCGAGTCTCCGACGCCGGAGCAGCCCCCGGCCCCCAAGAAAAAGGGCTGGTTTGTTTTCAGGAAGTTGACTTGGAAAAGGGAACCACCCCAGGCAACAGCCCCAGTGGTGACAAAGAGCAACGGACTGGGGCCGTATCCCGCGGCTGACGCTTTGCGTGCTTGCTGCGCGTTCTTACAATCTCTTGGACCCAAAATTGGCAAGGACATTTTGGAAGAAGCTGTCGCTGAGATACGGCCCTTCGTCAGCCCGGGGCGCCCGTTGGCGGAGCACATTTACGTCGGCGCTGAAGCATCCCTGCGTTGGATTCAACCGTTTGTTCCGAGACGAACGCCCGTCCGGCGACCGCTCTGCTCTGCGCGCTAGCTGCAATGGTCGCCATCACGCCCCTCCTTGAAAACCGCTTCGTATTATTTCTCGAGTCCCGGGGAGCGCTCGTCGACCAGCTCATACGCCTCGACCTCGCGACCGCCGGCGCCTTGCAGGCCGATAGCTTATGCGAAGCCAATAGCTTACACGCACGCGCCAGCGAACCCACTCTTCTCCAGGCGCTTTGCGCTGTCCCCTCCTTCGCACCGAAACTTGCGCCGCAGACACAGCAGCAGTGGGTGCGGTTCTGCGTGGCGAGAACGGACGACACTCCGTTCCACGTGGCAGTCGCGCGGGGCCCCGGACTGCTTTCGGACGCTCTGGAGCAGTTGGCGGACGTCCCAAAGGAGCGGCTGGCCGGCGGGCTGACGGTGCATTTTGAAGAGGAGGACGGGGCGGGCCCGGGGCTTCTGCGCGAGTTCTTCACTTTGGTGAGGACTCGAGAATGTGCTTGTCTGATTTGGATCGTGAACCAATTTGAAAACTGGCCAGAGAAGCACTTCCCCCAGACCTGGCTGACGTTTATCATTCGCAACGTTTCTACGTTTTTGCGTGATTTTGCAACGGTGGTTCAGATGGTTTGCCCGTCGTGTTTGCATCCGGAATCACAGCCAGCACTCCCGATGACCTCTTATAAGGTGAGGAGCTCGGGTTGTGTTTGCAACTCTTGTCTCTATGGATGGCTAACAAGAAGAATACTCGACACTGTTGTGTGCGTGTTTCTAAACAATCGTCTACTTGTGTTCACTTCGAAAGTATTGAGGATCTTCGGATACTTTTGGATTCTCGAATCCGTCGCCCAATCTGCTGCAAGACCCTGTCTTACTTCCCATCGTTTTCACTTCCATCCTTCTTTCCCTCTTAATCTTCCTCAAAATGCTAAGCCCCCGTCTCACACCATTCTTATGACCAATAGCCCCCAGCCCTCACTCACTTTCGCCCCTCTTGCCTACACGAGACCGTAGTCCGACCTCTTTATTCCTTACCGTTTAGAAATAGTCGCCAAAGGGTTCGCTTCTATCCCCATTAGCGAATCGATTGTATCCACATCTCGTCTTGGTATTGCCGGCGCACAAGATCGGCTCAGAAGACTCGCAGGATCTCTTCCCCCGCCAGGTCAGCCGCGCCCTCTTCGACCCCGCGGCCGCGCTCTTCGCGCCCTCCCCGCGCGACCGCCGCCGCTTCCACATAAACCCCGCGTCCGACATCAACCCCGGACACCTCGCGCACTTCGCGCTCTGCGGACGCCTCCTCGGACTGGCCATGGCCAACGGCACGCCGCTGGGCGTCCGCTTTTCATCGATCCTATGCGCTGTGCTCCTGGGCCCGTTGGAGGATGCGGACGCTCGGACGCTGCTAAGAAGCGTCCAGGACGCGGACCCCGAACTGTACGCGAGCTGCTCGCGGCTGCTGGAGATGGACGATGCGGAGGTGAGAGGCTTATCTGAGGAAGGAGCACATTCAACTTTTGAAAGACGGCCTACGTGTTCGCAATGTTGGGAACTTTTTGACGTCTCTCGCTTCTCATGCAAGATGCCTCCCATCGCTATTGAAGCAAACAGAGATCTTGATGGACTTGATGGATCTGGTTGCTTGTGTTCAGTCCGCTCTTCTGGTTTGTCGTCGTCACGCCTTTCTACCTGCGCTATCTCTGTACGTCCCTTGATGTGGTCGCTTCAGTACGACTCGTGAGAGGAGACGACAATTGAAAGAAGCGAGAACTCGGGAACGGACTGCGAAAGGAGCATTGTATAAGCTATCTTGGTATTCAGGCCTGCAGATCGGAGCTTTGAAACCTTTTTGCAAAGAAAAGAATTTTGTTTTGAAGCCCGCGATCGCGCTTTCCGCAGCATAAGGTAACAAGCCCCTTGTGCGGTCCACATCGTTGAGCTTAGAACGTTTGGTATTCACGATATTGCAACCTTCAAGCGTCATGTGAGAATGAGAACCCAAAAGAAAGGAAAGCACCCATCGCGAACTACAACGCAGTTGGCAGAACGGAAGAAGGTTCTGATCAGAACAGGCTCAATCTTGCTTTTTTGCCTCAACTTTTGGATTCAGGATGAGTAAGTTTCAGAAACACCAAGCAAAGCAGTGAAGTTGAAGTACTGAACTGAGACCGCCAAACTTAACCCCGCCCGTCCCAGGGTGGTAATTCTTACCTTTGCCGCTTACTACTCCTGACTTCCACCCTCATGCTTTGGTCTCTTCTGCAGCTGGCGGCCGCGAGCCTCCCCTTCGTGTGCACCGTCGAGCGGCGGCTGGGTGCGCCCGAGGAGGTTCCGCTGTGCGAAGGCGGCCGCGACGTCGTAGTTACGGCCGCTAACCGGGAGGGGTTTGTGGCGCGCAAGGTCGTAACCCAGCTGGTAACCCCGGTGGAGAAGCAGGCGGCCGCGCTGGCGGGGGGCCTTGGAGACGTGCTGAGAGAGGGAGTGACGCTGCGGGAGTTTCTGCTGCCGTTGAACGGGGGGGTGAGTGGGTTCCCTCTGAGTGGTGGCTTCAAGTGGGCTGGAATAATCAGACTCTGAAAAAGGGACTATATTGTGCTAGACAAGGGCGGGGGTGTGCTGGGCATGAGTGAATCGGTCCCTGCTTAACTCGTTTGCGTAAGGTCTTTTTCTCCTATATCTGTTTCTCGTGTAATTCCTCCACTAATGTTCAGCCCACTTCTTCAATATTTTTGTAATTTTGTCCTCGATCGGATGAGTTCAGCTGCCAATGCGTCAAGGCGATGGACCTCCGCATTCATGTCGATCTGTGCGAGCTTGTTTTAAGTTAAGTATCATTCAGTACCATTGATAAGATCTGCAAGCACTGATGGTGCAGGCTAACTATTCTTGTTCCAACACTGAAATTATCTCGCTTGTCACTTCTCATCGTATCGATGAGAAGCGAAGCGTGTTTGAGTACATAAACTTTGTCTGGACGTGCTCCTATGAACGAGCGCCTAAGAACGCAGAATCTTTGCAGCCGAAGGAAACGATTGAAAACCTCAGTACACTCATTGCATCTCCGCTCCCCCTTTGCATGACGGTCTGAACTCCTTATGGTTTCAATCAACCGAGTGTCCAAGTACGGAAACAGTGTGAGAAGGAACCATTTGAAAGGCGGAGGCGTCGAGAGCAGTCCTGGATATGCCTTACTCACGAAAACTGTCATCCGCTCTCCAGAATTTTGGGTGGCCGCTCGATGGGGACCTGGAGGACCTGTCCATCGCCGACTGGCAGAAGCACACCGAGTACCACGACTTATTGCCCACGTGTCGCCACGTCACGTGGTTCTGGCAGTGCGTCGAGGGCTTTACTCCGCCACAGCGCCGGCGTCTTCTCTTCTTCGCCACTTCCGTGGAGTTTCTGCCGCCGGCGGGATTCGCGGCGCTGCCGTCTAAGTTTCACATTTGGAAAGGCGGCACGCAAGACGGGCTGCCGACAGCCCATACGTGCTTCTATCAGCTGGTTCTTCCCGAGTATAAGTCCTTATACGCTATGCGCAAACAGCTGGAGATTATTGTGCAGTCGGACGTGTGGGAGGGCTTTGGAATGAGGTGAAGGCGACCGGCGAGGCTGCGAACGTCCGGTGCTCTATCTAGACCATTTGATGATGCTTCGTGATAGGCATGTTACGGACAGAAGGTCAAAGTTGACCTCGCCTCCAAGTTTTACATACGGTCAAGTAAAGTCGTTTTGAGGGAAGGCAGTGATCAACCCGTTCTGTTATACGCAGCCCAAAGGGCAAACTTCACTTCGAACAATTTGCGGCGCCTGTGTGAAATTGAGCTGCGCAAATGGGCAACAATGCAACGCGAGTTTTGTATAAAGTGACGGTTGGCTTTGAAACGTGCTCGCCTGCGATTCTTTGTGAGACGGAGATCGTCATGACTCATGCACAATTTGCACAGATACACCAAGATGTGGGAGCCAATCAAAGGAACTTGCCGTTAATCGTGGCTTGACACTCGGTCTTTGATTATCCACTCGTTCGAGAGGGGCTCATGAGTTATGGAGACGCGCATGCATGTCGTAGCATTTGCAGGCAGACTAGACCGAGCAAGTCTGCCTTACGCGCATAGTGTCAAGATATGTTTGACAAAACCGAGAAGTCACAAGACTGATGCAGGCAGAGCAACAGCGCGACGACTCGTGCCGGCGCGCGCGCAAACCGAGTCCATTGATCAGGGCGCCTCTTGCACCTGCCAAAGCCTTCAACAACGTAGTGCGTGTTTCTTCTGGGCATCCAGGAACTCTTGTCCGCGAAGCGCATGAGGTTCTGGGGAGGCACTTTTAGGAGAGCAGGGGAGATCAGGGTCAGCACGCAGCTGCAGTTGTATCTTCTGGTCAGATCTGCTTGTCCGAAGACGGAGCGGCCTACGTTTTGTTGCTGCCGGTGTGGACTCCAACCGAAAGCATCATAGGCTTTCATGTCTTCAGTTATTCTCCGTCAGCTAATCCAATTTGAGAGAGTTGCAGGTCGAAGGCTGTGAAAGTAGTGGAGTTTGAGCGGAGTGTGGGTGCCGAGGAGTATGGCAAGCGTGTCTCGTTGTTGCGCACCTATGAGCTCCCTCAGCAGCTTGAGCTTCTCAAAGAGAGAGCAGAGGCTTGATACAAGAGTTTTGGTAAGTCCTTTGGTTTACCATGCACGTTTCTTCGACTGAAAAAGTGTGCTAATTCGTCATCTGAAGCACAATACAACCAGCTTGCTGGTTCTCGAGATGGCTTTTGGATCTGCAGCGGGCGACGGAACTCAATCGTGCATGCTTTGTAGATCTGTTAGGATGATCATCTTGAGGAGAGCTTTTAATGCAGTGTACAAAATCAGAATCCCTTAACCCAGAGCATCGAATCTGAAAATTAGGAAATAGTGGGAGTCACCTTCATCCCCATGCCAGAGCAATAATACTGCAAAGAATCTCCAAGGCCCACCGTTTGTGAAAACTCGATAGAGATTAGAAGATTAAGGTATGCATCATATGTAGTTAAGGTTTCTAATCTCTATCAAATTTTCACAAACGGTGGGCCAGGATGTTTCAATGACATTTTGTGTCTTTACAAGAAGTGCTAATTCGTACTCAAGGCCAGTCAGTCTCAAATTTCCTCTTTTCTTCCGACCTGACACCTAGTAGGTTAAAATGTTTTCATTTTGGTTCGATTATTCGGTGCATTATAGATCTTCTACAGGACAATACATTTGCCAGCAAAGACGAGCTCTGAGCAATTCTCACTTGGAGATTCTGGGACCAAATTGCCTGAGAACCTGAGAATATGTCAGGATACATAGGAGCTTTCTCCAATGGCTTTGACTGTTTCATTCCTGCAAGCCATGGTACTCAGGCACGGTTCATTGGATCGCTTTTCTACAGGAAGCAAGCGCGTCTGAGTTTCGTGGAGCAAGTCATGGGCTAGCACAGAAGGGTACTTTTCGCGTTTCGAGGATTCATACCCGGCGGCAGAAGAGATGGAGAACCGGAATAGTGACGTGCTCCTCCTCAAGAGAGCAGCAGGAAGACGCAGTCAGGTAAGCAATAATCCCCTCTGTTAATCCGTTGCATCGATTGCCAATTTTGATTTGAAACAACCAGGCCTCAGCCACTTTCTCGGCACCTGCAGTAGCATTGTTTGAATTCTGTACCTGAGCAACAGGATACTCTAGCTATCTCGAGATTAGAGAGTTGGTGGCAACGGACGCTGCGAGTGGAACGCAGAGGCATGCTCTTGATTGCTGCTCAAAGTATCCATTTGGACAAGTCGAGGTCCCCAATACTTGGTCGGAACGAAGATAGAGATTAAGAGCATTCTCTATGAACCCGCGAAAAGTTGCCAATTCTTAGAAAAGATGAACATCTTGAGTCGAGTGTAAATTATTCGTCTTTTCTAAGAATCCGCAACTGTTCGCTTCCGAAAGGATAAATCACAGTGTGCGGTCTCACTGTGTTACCAGACCTGCCATCTTTACCCTTTATTCTTCCCCGCACAGCAAATGTCGATGGCGTCTATCAAACTTTTAAAGCAAGGATCCAGAGTGCTTCAAGCAGAACAACGTTATGGCTTACTTCCGACCAAAAAGCACAGATTTAGAAAAAATAGAGTCAGCTGACGCAGAACCATCCGTATCTTCGACTCCGTTCCCGCAGTGACGTTGCCCTGGAGCTTTTGGCCGCAAATAAGAAGCGCGTTCTCTACGCCACCAAGCTGCTGATCGAGGCGCCGCTCGTGGGGCTGTGCGCGCTCAACGTGTGGGCGCACTGGGGCGACAGCGCGCGCGCGAGCGGGGAGCCGGCCGCGGGTTACGCGCTCGCGCTGGCCTTGGCAGGGGCATACACGCTGCTGACTCCCTGCGCGCAGGACCTGGTGTCTCTCAAGAAGGCGGCGCAAGATTACACCTTGCTGCGCAGGATCCTGCTGTAAGTCCGGCCGATAATCTGATTCACTCTTCGTAATCTCTGATTTGCAGTGTTGAGTACGGACCGGCTTCCTTCTGTAGTCTGGATTGGGCTCCTTCGAGGCTTGGATAAGTTCGATAACCAAGAAGCTTGTATCGTTTCTCACCGCGTAATAGCGTGCCACGGAAAGCGTGCTGCTCGGGAAGTTGGCACGACAAGGCGGGAAAAGACACTCTTTCCCACGCTCTAGAGTTGCAAGGAGTGAGAAATTTCTCTGGTAGAATCATATCTCTTGTACATTAGGATGCTCCTCCCGGTGCTCTCTTGCCCTAGAACGTGACTACTCTGACGCATGAGATGTCTTTCCACATAGATCCAAGTCATCCCAAGGTTCTTCAAGCGAAGCGCAGAAATAAGGCAAAGATACTGCCCTTCGGCTTGCATTGGCAGCCCTTTGCCCTTATTAGACCCTTTGATATGCCCCGTAAACCATTGAAAAAAATCGATTGCTCCGACCGCAGATTCTCCTACTTGAACGGTTCCGATCTTCAAAAAATGGAGGCAAAACACGTGTGCGCGCGTCGATTACGTCCAGTCATTAGCACAACACTACTTTCTGCCTGACTCACGGTCAACACGATCAATCTGCCCAGATCCGAGGAGGAGGAGCTGCCCCTCGACTGGGACACCGACGATGAGGAGTCACTCGAACTACACCACGAGCTTGCGACCGTCTCTGCGGTGGGGGGGGTCTGTGCTGAGGGTCTCCTCGTCTTGCTGTGGGCTGCGTGCAACTGCGTCTTCCCCCCCAAGTGCGAATACGACGTCTGGGCGCGGCATCTGTGGCTTTTCGGGGAGCCTGTCGAAGTTGTCCGGGGAGTCGTTTTCCACATGTGCACGTGCCTGGCGTTAGAGGCACGGAAGTGGGCGGTGAACACGTGGCGCGAGCGCTGACGAGGATTCGGTCTTGGCCCTAAACGTGCGGAGGTAGAGGAAAGGCAGTAAAGGCGAGACCCCGATTGATGATTGCCCTCCAACCGCGCGTTTGTATTAGCAGACTTCGGCGCCCTAAGGAAGAAGCTTCTGTTAAGAACCTGGCTGATTGTCATTCTGAGTACGAGCACGCGCAATACGCAGGAAGAGTTGTAGGTCTTTGTTTATCATGCCTTGAAACGTACTGAGTACGGCTCTGTTTGATTGCACATTAAGCTTGCGGGCGCGACCCCTCCTTACAAGAGGAGAGTGCGTTGAGAAAGTGCGTCCAGATTCGAAAGTGGTTTGCGGACTTGCGATATAAAGCCCTGGTGGCTGGTGGTCGAGTGTCCCACCACAGCTTCCTTCTTATCTTGGTTAGAATCGTTCAGGCTGTCGCCTTCGAACTCGGGGTGTTGAACGCAAAATTCATGCGCTGCGCACAGCGTATGGATTCTGATGAAACTCTGATAATTCTCTAATGAAAACAGCGCTCTAAGAGCATGCGGATCCTCTTCCTCGACCTTTTGCAACATGGGCCCTTCCTAAACGAAAAATACATATGCGCTAACGAGCACAGACGAAGAATGAAGCTTGCTACTGTTGCGGCTTATAGCCCGTCCAAATTTGCGCACACCACCAGTATCCAGGTGCCAGCGTGGTCAGTGATGGTTTGGCATCTTCATGATGGTGCTATGATAGTGATCTCTATCATCTGCTGGCCCAGACTGCAGCATCATTTCCCACCTGGAACGGCGTTTTGGAAGGCTCGCAGGCACCCGTATGGCTAGTGAAACGTTCTCACCGTTCTTAAAAGGGGTTTAACCTCTCAGATTTCAGCGATTTTCTCCACAACGAGGACTCTGAAAAGCGTCAAGATAAGAGTAGTTCAAAGAGCTCCTCAGAAACCAAGCTTTCACTTTGGTGACTGCTCAAAGAAGTTGGTACGCCAGCATGGGTACAAAAGATGCTGTGCTTCCTTAGCTTGTCGTCAGCCAAGGCAGGGGTTGACGCAAACCTTGGCTTGGTATTAAGAGATCTTCCGTCGGAAACCGCTACTATATGCTAGACTTGAGGCGCCTTCCGTACACAGCTTGCGGGTGCCACGTCAGCAGAGTCTTGACCGACTTCACTCTTTGGCCCAAATTCAGGATATGGTCAAAAACTATTGTAGAGTACTTTCAGGACGTGCAAGATTCGGGCCGGCGACAGGAAGAGACGAGGAGACGAAGCAGATCCAGGGGCTTGCACAGGATTGCATCGATATCCAAGGGTTTGAATCTTTAGTGCGCGCCGCGGCCCCATCTGAACTGCTTTCGCGCCTCCTGAAAAAGAGCCCAATCCAAGGATAGCTCACAGAGGCGCAGGTTGACCAGACGGAGACTTTGGTCTGGGTTGAGTGCCCGCCTCTGCTAAGATAAGCCGCCCGTTGCTGCAGACGAATAGATCCCTGCCCTGCAAGTAAGCAATCAGGGGAATGCGCCGCTCAGAAGATCGGGTTTTGAGCGAAGTCACATTTGCGCAGGTTGACGCGTATTCTGCCAGGAAGGAAGCATGGCCAACGTTGCTACTAGCTGTACAAGTTTTGCCTCTCTTGGCAGCTTGAGACTCCAGATGATTTGCAGATCAGGGACTCAGAGGAGACCTGCAGTGAGTATTTCGTCCTTATTCTTTGGTCCAAGTGTGCATGCTTTTGCGAAGGATAGCGTGGTTGCTTAAATTGGTTTCTGGCGCATGCTTCTAGGCAGTTTGTGATTAATGCAGAAAGGAACCATTTACTCGAGGCTGATATTCAACATCTTCAAGACTGTTTTTCCTTTTATGGAACACATTCTCACGCTCCTGCTACAGGAGTCCTGATTACTTTTGGAGGACTCTAAAAGCAATTCAAGGTACCACTGATTCCGATGTTGCATCTCTTGCTAGAGCTGTTTAAACTACAATGATATGGTTTTGAAAGCATACCAAAACTATGGAGGGATTCGAGACTACAGCAGGCTTGAAATGGAGATATCTATGTTCGTTCTGCGCCATCCAAGTCACTAAAAGTTTCAAGTCTGCTTCTTTTTGGCAGGCCCTCTGCATTCAAAAAGATCCTTAACAAGATTTTCCCAAGCATGACTTCCACACGTAGTCTCTAGGATGCCTTCACTTCACAAGAGAGCTTCCTCCACGTTCAGGTTTGTTGTGTCCTTAGGGTATTATCTCAGCCCCGATATAGACCCTACTCGGCCAAAATATTTCTTTTGAAAGCAACTTACCAGGGCAACTTCTTGGCTGCAGGGTATCCATATCTTCAAATACCATGACCCAAGGCTATTACCAGTCAGGAGGGGTCTCTATTATGGTTCGAAGGTCCTGAACAGGCAGAGCAGATGGGGACCTGGAGTGGTGAAGTGCTCTTCGTTGCAAACGAAGGAAGACAAAGAATACAGGTAAAGAAGACATTTGTTCTCTTGTCAAAGCTTCACATGCGTATCATTTGAAACAGATTCACGATGCTCGAGACAAGGGTTGCAAGGAGCCTAAGGGTTGAAAAGCTTGCGTGGCAGTTAGGCAGAACCTAGGATTTCTTGGACCGGAAAATCCTATTCGATCGAAACATTATGCACCGATCTTCTTTTATAGCGTGTTCTTCATAGTCGCTTGGCTTGCTTTGCTTTCAAAATGTGGCTGCTTTCTGTGGGATCTGTTCATTCGAAGCAAATGTATCAAGCACTCTCAACTTCGCTCCAAAGACACGTCGTAAGTCTCACGGAGCCGAAGCTAAGACTGCGCACTCAATCTTCCTCTCTTTCCCCGCAGTCCCCTCGCCCTGGAGCTGCTGGCGGCAAAGAAGACGCGCGCGCTCTACGCTACCAAGTTGCTGATCGAGTTGCCGCTCGTGGGGCTGTGCGCGCTCAACGCGTGGGCGCACTGGGGCGACTGCGTGCGCGCGAGCGCGGAGCCCGAGGACGTCCTTTACGCGCTCTTGTTCGCTTGGTTTGCGGGAGGCGAACTCTTCAAGCTCTGCTGGGGAGACATGGTCAAGCTCGAGAGGGCGGCCAGAGACTGCTTCAAGCTGTACAGGGCCCTTCCGTAAGTACCGAAGCAGTTGTGGTCTTGTCTGTGAGATTGCCCGCATTCCTGGCTTTTTTTAGAGGATAACGCCATGTATCTGGAATGCTTTCAGGTCATGGCACTGGATGGAGGCCTGCCACTACAGAAACGCTCTTTGCGAGATGATGTACCGTGGTATCAGAAATTTACAAAAGTCATAAGCATGAGCAAAACTGCTAGATGATCGCATAGAAGACCATGGATGCTAGATTGAATTTCTGAAGTGCTGGATTGGAACCAAGGGTTCTGCATGTCCCCCTTCGATTTCGCCACTTTTACAGAAGAATACCTCAGACGCATTGCTGTATGCCGTATTCCTCAAACCTGGTCGGGTTTGCTTGGTGCAGGCCTCTTCTCTTTGCAGCTGCGTCTGAAATTTTAGCTCTTCATTGTGTAGGGGACCGCTTTCTTGGCTTCTTACAAAATTAAGCAGAATTTATCGCTCACAATTTGAACGAGAAGGATTTCCGTGTGCTTAATATTTCAGACTTTCTGGTAGCAGATCTCCGCATCATTCTTTCGGCGCTTTTCTCATACAGATCCGATGAGGCGGGGCCGCACCTCGGGTGGGACTCGGAGGACGAGGCATCTCTCGCGGAACAACACGAGCTTGTGAAGCAGGACTTTCTGTGGGGACTTGCCTTTGGGTTCATACTGTTCACGGGGCTGGCAGTGTCGAATCGCGTCTCTCCCAACCCTTCCGATGACAAACTGTGGGGCCACGCCCTTTTCCTCAGCTTGTCCGTCTACTTTGTTGGAGAATTTATGTTCGGCATGTGCACGTGCCTAGCTCTGGAGGGAAGAAAGTGGGCGGTTCGGAAGTGGGGCAGTTAAGAGCCTTCAAGTCACCGTCCTTGGCAGGATTTTGGATCAAGCTGCTTTTTGTTTGGTTTTGAGTAGAGGCTAAACCAGGGGTTATTAGGCCTGCTCCAAATATGAAGTACTGTCTCTATGTTTCCTTACTGCTTCTCGATCAGAAATGATAGCGGATCGATCCACGTTGGAAATCTTCGCATTGCATAGGACGCGAATCAAGAGACTCTTTGATTGCCGCATCGTCCTTGCTGCAACGCCGCCCGCTGATGCATATCTATCATGATGGTCGAGAGAGAGAGTCTCTGCCAAATCTACCACCTCATCCTTGCAAGGATGATTGATTGAAAGCACGGCTACCCAAAGTAGCTTAGCGTGTAATGGACGCATGTATTCTAGTCAATTTCCTCAGGCGGGTCCAACAGAAATGATGGAATTCCCAGCGACGTTGCCTCCTCACTTGCATGTATCCCCTACATCATTGGCATCTGGCCTTCTATCTACCAGCGACTCAAGAACAGAGCAACGTATGCTTGGATGATGTTTGACTTTGAAGCAGTATTGCTTGTGCAGCTGGAAAAGACGACTCTTCCCATACTACAGATGGCCCGGACACGTCGAGACCTGGTTGAAATCTGATTTCATAGCCGCAGGTGCACCACCTAGCGGGATCATCGATCAAATCGAATCTAGCTCACGCTAATCGGTTAGGCAAACACTTTGTCCTGACCTGCTGGCTGCTGTAAGTTTGTCCTGCTTTCGCTACTTCTATTCACCGTATGCGAGGTAAGCATGCATGGATGACGGCTAAATACTACTAAGCTGAGAGCGGTTAACTCCTTCTGAGAGTGTTCAGAGGCGCTACCGTGAACATGGTAAGCGCGCCTTGAACCACGTTGTGTTTGCGTACGGTTAAAGAAGATAACCTTGTTTGTTTGCATGGTTATTGGCTTCGGCCAAACCGACTGCGATTGATGATGTTCCATAAGATGTAAAACTTCCGCGACGCTCCATCCAATAGGACGCGGACGCGTACGCCTTCTCCTTTTCTAACTACTTGAGCACTGTAGCAGTCTCGAAAACGTTTGCCACCGCTGAAAGTCTCTCAAATCCTGGCAGGGAAGAGCATATGCATCTGACGGTAGGGATCAGCAGCAGAAAAGCTCGAGCGCAAAGTGTTCGCCTGCATGTGTGCCTCTCAGCTCTGCACTGTGGAAGAAACTTGTGCGGGAGGTCGATTGAGCAAGCAGCTCCGCTTCAAGCTGGAGACTCAAACACTCTCACTCAGTTCTCAAAGGATTCATTGCGCCCCGCTCAGGCTCAGGACCTGAGCGGACGCGCGCGCGGCCTCCTCGGGAGTGGCCCCTTTTACGATTGGGCTTGTCGCGCGCGCGCGGCCGCAATGTTCGATACCTGCCGCGCCGCGCCTTTTCCACTCCCCTCTTCGCTCCGTTCCGTTCCGTTCCATTCCGTTCCGGTCGGACTTTTGACCGCATTGGCGAGAGGTTCTGCTTGGTCCTCTTATATTACGTCTCTTACAAATGAGCTTCGCGCAAAGGAATTTATGCAGGTGCGCTACAAAGAAGTGGACATTAAGGCTTTTGCATCCCCAACTTATTATGCATACCAACGTAACGGGGCGGAAGGGGCTTGCAGTCAACCATACCGCCAATCACGCCATGTTGATTCAGGGTGCATCGGACTACAATAATTGTTACATCACAGAAAGCATGCCGCTCTGTTTTAAGTTTATTCGCAATCCAGATGCTTAAGTCCTCATGTAAATCAGCAGTCTGCTCCTTCTCGCTGTCTGCAAATGCTAACGCACAGATCCAGGTCCTTTGCAATAAAGGGGTGACGCTAAATGAAGTCAAAGATCTCAAGTGCAAGTCCGTTCTGCTCGCTGTGTCCGCCTCTAACCTCAACTTAAAACTCTTCGAGCTATATGACTGCCCGCAAGATGCAAGACATTGCGAGCTTTAGGTTGCCTGATCCTGTGCTGCCCTCTTCGTCTCCACCAACGCTAAACTTGTGCAAGCTTCCTGGACCACGTAGCTGATCAAAGCGACGGGAAGGCTACACAGGTACACATTGCTACAGCAGATGTCGTAGTCGCTGGTTGGAGGAAAGATGAAGTTCCACGCAGCCCACGTCGAAAGTAAGAAGGCTTCGACCTTGACTGCGTCCGTTGCGAAAGGTTGCAGAACCCCTCGTTCCAGTTCGAGGTTCATCTCATCGTCCGAATCCCAGTCGAGGGTCGGCTCCGTGATTTCAGACCTGGGGCGATGAAGGCATCCGAGTTGAGCAAAGTCTTTCTTTCTGAAGTTGCAAATGGAGATGATTTGACGGGTCTTCTTGGAACTTTTTAAACACTTTAACGGAAGGACCGCTTTTACTACAGAAGGAGAGATCAACCAAGACCCTTGCTGTTCACAAGTGCTATTTTGGTTACCAAACAAATTGCTGCAAACCTCCTTTTCCTTCGGAGAGCCGCAAACGCTTCAAATGAGTGCCCTGATGATTTCAAAGGATATCCTTGATTAGATGGCTATATGCATTAAAGATTGAAGCAGACGTCGTCATCTTGCAGAAGAAGACATGGGTTTTGTTTGTGGAAAAGGCAGAAAATTAATACGTCGCTTTCGACCAGAGAAATGATTGAAGTCAAAATGGACAAATTATTTAGGGTTTCAGATGTACCTCCGTTGGTTCACAAGGCATACAGGGAAGTGAACGGACGTTGGACCCGACAGCGCATTGTTTCATCTTCGAAGAAATTTACAGATAAATTGTAAAACAGCCGACGCAACACGAATCAAATCTTAGTTCGCACCTTAAGAGGCTCACGAGAGGTACTCGAGGCAAACTGCATGCGTAAAAGAGGTTGTGGGACTCACGGCAACTTCTTGCGGAGCTTGCAGCACTTCCTGGCCGCTATTCCCAGCTCACACAGATCTTCAATGCAGCGGCTAAACAGCACGAGAACCCCAGTCCAAGCGGGTATGATGGCGTACAATTCGTGCTGCTCTATGTCGCCCCTGATGAGCAAGTCGGTCGTGAGCGCGTAAACGTCGATTGGCGCTCCGGTCGCGCGCGCGGCGGGGCCCCAGTGCGCCCAGACGGTCACGAGAGTGAGCGCGCACAGGCCCATGAGCGGCGTCTCAATCAGCAGCTTGGTGGCGTACAGCGCGCGCTTCTTCTTGGCGGCTAACAGCTTGATGGCGACTTCGTAACCTCTGGGAAAGGAGCGGCAGGTTACGGGATCAGAGGGATCAACTGCGCGCGCGGAGAGAAGAGTGCTTGAAAAGCGATTGAATCATAGCAAGCCGCATCGTATGACCAAGTGTTGAAAGGACATCCACTCTTGAAGAGTTGTTGAAGATATTCAAAGAACCTGTGCGACTCCAAGCTTCGTAGGTGCTGTCTAGAGGCAGCAGAGTGGTGGACTCTCTCGAGTTTTATGCTGCCCCTGGCCCCCTGTATGAGTCTTAGGAGCACCGTGCTGCTCAAACGCACGGGCGAAAACAAACCAAACTTCCTCCTAGGATACAGTATCCCAACAGTGATCAACCAAATGTGGCCAATCTGAGACTATGGAAGAATGATTAAGACAGAGATCTTTCGTCAAGCATGATATGCAGTGACACGAAAAGGTCGTACTCACCTGCGGGAGCACAGCACCAGTCCGGATCGATGTCTCCGCTGTTTGACAATACCTTTTGAATCGACGCAGAAGGATGAAGACAAACGGTTCCTCTTCGCCAACCCTGATGCTGACCCATAAGGCTGGGGACCATGGATACCCTGCTCAAGAACGCGTGTTAAGTCTGATGATTGTACCAGTGAACCCACAGATGTCTCGAAAGTCTCTGAAATGCTAGTAAGCATCATAAGGTGGAACAGGGGATATGTTCATAACTCGATAACCCTCTCAGTTTTCATGAGGTTCGTCGTAGAACAAAAACCATATGTGCTGCTAAGCTGAGGACTTTTTGACAAGCTTGCTTTTGGTAGCGAATGAAGTCTGTGACGATCTCCAACGGCTCTACATCGCTTCTTCATTTGCCATGACCTCCAACAGAATGGCCAGATTTACTGCCAGTGCGACTGGACAAGCGAGTGCATCTCATTAATTTTCTGCTCTCAGTTGTCAGAACAAAACTCATGGCTCTTCTCATGTTTAAACATAGTTTCTGCAAAATCCTCCTCCAAAGATGCATTTGAAAGCTATTCTTGCATACCATAGGGTTCTACGATGTTTTACTCATCGTTTGAGGAAAGCCAGACCTCGGCCTTCGAGCAGATTATTTGACTAACCCCGATGACAATTGGAATCAGGTTCCCACTCAGATTGCTACAAAATCTGATTTCGCTCATCGTGTTCTAAGCTCTCGAAGCATGCTGATCCAAATGCTGTGAAGAATGATCACACAGGCTCTCTTTGATCAACAATTCTCTCAGCACAAAGAGTACCACCGAGATCTTTGAAAGACTTGGTTGGAAAGATTGCATGGCAAGAAGGAAGACTCACCAGGAACTCAATATTCTTCCTTCGAGACCTTGTCCGAAGCCCCAAGCTGATCACAGAGCAAGAAGTAGAAATGAATCCAGAGACGCTGGCCATGCTTTTGCCGCGCTTGGAACAAGCTCCAAGAGGCCTTTTGACTGAACTACCCTGTCAATGTTTCTCGCAGATCTGTTTGATCATCAAACATGGAAAAGATTGCTTCGTGAGTTACTTGATCCTCGGTTCAGAGATTCAGCTGCCTCTTCTTCTGACGGCCCCCCTTGGAAGCGCAACTTTCACAGGTCGACTTCGAGAGCGTCACTGACCATACCGCCATACAATTCCCTACATTATCTGTAGTGATTGAGATCCATCATTAAAGGAGACTTGTATTTTGTGTGACTTTTGAGCGCCTTTGCAGTTGCGCACGGCAAAGCTCCTTATGTATCAACACAAGGACCTCTTTCCCATTTGGTCGCCAATTCGACCGAAGTCTACATAAGAGGGAGGGGGAAATCTGATCGTCGCGCGCGCTCTGACCAGCGCGGCCGCAGCGCTCGACACTCCGCCAAGCGCCCAAGACAGGCCCTGTTTACATAAATCTACAGATGATGAGCCGAAGAAGAGAACCTGGTTGCCTTGCGCGAAGGAACTTGTGCAGATGCGCTAAGAGGACACGCACAGTAGACTCCTGCTCATGCAGAGTCTCAGCTCCTGTGTACAAAGCAGATGCTTAAACAGACTTGATGTAAAAGGGGTAGACTGCCTGACCGCATGGAGTCATATTGTGACAGTTCTGCTCTAAGGTGGTGGGGTCAGGAGAATATGCTGATCAAAAACTGAGGCAACTCAGAGCCCTTTTTGCAATCATCTTTTTCGTAAGCCAGGGCGGTGCTTTGGCAAGAATCAGACATGATGTTTTGACGGAGAGCGGTCAGCTCGAAGCTTGGTTTCGGTCCTGCAAAAGCATGGCAAGGGTCTCCACTGTCTTCTCACCTTCTTGCTCTGTAATCAGCTTGGGACCCCGGATGAGGTCTTTGAATGAGGAATTCAATTCCCTGGTGAGTATTTTCTCGCCATGCATTTCTTCGCGATGGAACCTCTGAACAAATCTGGTGGCACATTTGACAATTTGGATAGGCATTCTGTGTGCTTTCAGCCTGTATATCCACGCCTGCATGCTTCAACCAGCAAAGAAGCATGCTAGCAGAGCAAGATCGACAGCCGATTTGTGGCCGATTCTGGTTTTTGAATGAGCTGTTTGGGTGGCTTCTCTCTCGAAGATATTGGAAATCTGCAAACAAGGCCTTCACTTGTTGAAAGATGATTCAGAACCAAGCTTTTGCAGATAGTGACTTCAAACAGCAGAAGGATGTAATTGCTAATACCGGAATTCATCAGAGATTTGATGAGAAGCGCACAGATACTTATATATATTGTCTGTCCACCACTAGAAGCCACTTCTAAGCTTGTGCGGGATTAATGGCAGAAGCAGCGGTCCAGGTCCTCCAAAAGCTACTGTGAACCGCATTCTGCAGTCTGCAATCTGCATCAAGAGCAAGTACTATTGACCTTAGCTTCGCATCACGTGCGTCCTACATTTTAGAATAAATTCATCTTGCTCCACACGGATCTTAGACGATTTAACAAGGTGCCAATCAGATACTTACATATCCTACCAACCAATCCTAGCAGTTCAGACTCTCGAAGCGAATCTGTTGCAGTGAATTGCAATCAAAGAGACCACTTTTCCCCTTGTCGAGCAGGGTATTTGTGGACTCCAGCCTTATCATGAGAAGACGAGATTGGCGAAGAGAAGTCTTTTGTCTTCGTCCTTCTGCGTTGGTTCCAAGGGCCTTGACAGGCAGAGGAGACGCAGACCCGGAGTTCTGATGTGCTTCAGTTCGGACGAGGAGGACGATGATGACAGGTGACTGGAGTTGTGTTGCTCACTTACTTTTTGCAGGCGAAGTGTTTTTTTAAGTTCAATCTTCAGAATCTTTCAGACCAGCATGGTGTTTAATCACGAAAGGTAACGGAGTTTGGTAAACCAAAGAGGGGATTCTAAAGTGTCCACGCGTGTGTGTAGCTTTTCTGAGCAGAACAATGCTCGTAAGCCGCGTTATCACGGTGGCCAGGGGCTATCTGACAATCAAACGGAAGACCTCAAATCTCCGCATCTTGAGAGCTGAGTATACATAACACTTCGATGTGCAGCCTGCATGTCATTTGAAGGTCATTCTGTCACCAGATACTTAGACCCTTCCTCTTGTCTTTGAACCTTAGAGCAAGTTTTGGCCGAACTCTGGATCTCAAGTCCTGAAACTCAACTACTGAAACAGCAGTGTCTCGCGTTGCGTTGAAGAGATATCTCTAACAATTGTTCTTAGCCGCTCCTTCAGGAGTGACGTCACCGTAAACCTCTTAGCCGCGAGGAAGAAGCGCGCGCTGTACGCCACCAAGCTGCTGATCGAGACGCCGCTCCTGGGCGTGTGCGCGCTCACTCTCTTGACCGCCTGGGCGCACTGGGCCCCCGACGCGCGCGCGAGCGGGGCGCCGCTTGACGTCTACGCGCTCACGAACAACCTGTTCATCAAAGGCGACATCGAGCTGCTCGATTTGTACGCCATCACGCCGGCCTGGGCTGGGGTTTACATGCCGTTCCGCCGCTGTACTGACGACGTGTCTGAGCTGGTGTCAGCGGTCCAGGAGTGCTGCGAACTCCGGAAGGCATTGCCGTGAGTCCAGAGGACACTACTCGTTTTGCTGTTTTGTCTGCGTCTTCATCATTATGAGTCAAACGGGTCTTCACATTAACTTGCCATGTCCCTCCCTTCCCTTTTACTGGATTCTCTTGAAATGAGATTTGAAAGCGATCGGATCGAACTCCCAACCAAGTCCGGTCGCTTCCTCGTGTTAGGTCTGCCGATAAGGCTTTGCCGCCCGTACGATCTCCCAAAAGTCAAGGTGTATTTCAACGAGTTACTTTTGACTCACTCTGTGTACGTGTACTCTTTGGATGTTAATTGCCACACGAAGGATGAGCGCTCATTTGCGGATTGCGGTTCGTCATTGGGACTTCCTCTGATATCAAACACGTCTCTGAAGAACAGGTGGTTTCCTAGCCGAGAATCTGCACTGAGTCCTCCTTTGATGTTTTAGCACCGCACTCTTAGAAAGCAATGTGTCCCGCACTATACCTTATCTGTCTGATAGCGTATGTGGAACGTCGTTTCCGATCGCGACTGTCGAAACTTCGACGGAATCCCATCAGTGTTGGCCTGACTGTTCTACTCATCTCACGCGCATTCATCTGTCCAGATCTGATCAAACGAAGCCGCCCCTCGACTGAGACTTTCACGACGGAGCTGCAATGAGAATGCAGTACTGGTTTCTGAAAGCTGATGCAAAGGGGGCAGTCTGTATCGTAACGTTCCTACTTTTGCCGTGGGTCGCGTGCAACTTCATCCTTCCCCCGACCAGCGACTACGACATCTGGTTGCGCCATATGTACCTTAGCCTTCCCGTCGCCTCCATCAGCTATGTGATTTCTCAAGCGTGCACGTGCTTGGCGTTAGAGGCAAGGAAGTGGGCGGCACAGAAACCGACTAGCTAGGATTCGTACAAGCTTGCTTCATGGAAGGAGTTTTGTTGCTCAAACTTAGTTCGGGTATGCACCTTCAGAACGTGCATCTGAGAACTTCTACTCAAATAGCGTCCCCCCCAGTGGTGCGAAGGGCCTTGGTTTAGTACGTAGACCGATGCACACAGATGGGTAAGTAGCAGATTTAGTTACGGAAGCACGTGGATAATGAGCAGGAAAAACTAGAGCCGCAAATTCTACAGAGTAGCCTGATTTGTTACATTCAGACATTTATCCATCCAGCCATGCTTGTAAGCCCGTTCGATTATCGTGGAGTGCAAGCCCCAACTCCCGTACGACACATGCATGATCGACTTGAAGGTGGTAATTTATCTGACCCGCTAAGACGCGGGTCTAATTGCTTTGAGCGGCTGCACTTGGCTGCAACGCGGGATTTGCGTAAGTGTGCCAGGCTAGAGCTAGTTAGCCTCCTTAAATTTTGCCCCAACGAAAATCAATGACCTCATCGTGAGGGACAGCTTCCAGCCGGTGGACGTGAAGCCTCCGGGTGAGATTGCATTTCTAATCTGGACCAGAAGCTTGCAGTGTTGATAAGCTGATGACCGTTCTTCACTATTTTGAGAAGGTCGTTAAAGCAGAGCATCAGCTGATCCACCGTATAAGTTCATTTTGCCGGAGGCGTGCTACCGTCATGCATGCCGTTTACACATGAGAGCATCCGCTGGCGCGGAGCTGCTGGTTGTGATCGGCATTTGAAAGGCTTGATGTGAGCTACATTCTGACATTGATCAGTACAACGAATTCGTTACCAGAGAATGAACTTGTATTTTTGTTTTCGTCTTGTTTTCAACGGACACTACTCAAGACTTTCAGAGTGGACTTGGGATCTTCCAATTACTTTCTCACTCGGGAAACCTAAGGACCCGACGCGGTACGGTACACAAGGCGTCCTCATTGTCTGCCACCTTGCGCGCTTTGCGGCGCGGCCGTCCCAGATAGGCGCGCGTTACTTAGCAGCTTCTCGCGCGCCTTATAGAACGCGATGATGTCCGCGTCCGCCTCCGCGTTTCCCGTCAGGATCGGCGCCGCGCGCTGGACCGCCCACTGCGTACTGGGAGACAAGGGCCTTCCGTTCTGGTCCGTAGCGGAATCCGCTCCAGGCTCTCTCCTCCTGCCTGGCCCGGCCCCGGAACTATTTCTATCCCCCGATCCATCTAGCGTAGAGCCCGCATCTTTGCGTCGGTCAAACCTGCTACTCTGCGGCGCTTCCTGATTTTCGTGCGCCCTTGCCGCAGGGAAACTGGATGGCGAGAAAGCAGCCGAAGACGCGGGCGACGCCACGTCCGAAGCCTGAAAAGCCGACGGCGTGCTGGCGGCGGACCCGCCAGCGCCCCAAGCGCTCCTCGGTGCGCGCGCGAACGACTGCCCGGGGCTTTCCACCGGGCTTGGGCTCAGCGCCCCGTCCCTTCTTCTACTATCATCGCCCACGAAAGGGGCCTCTTTTTTCTCTCGTGCGGACCGGTTCGGTGCGCTGAGCGGCCGCGACGCGCGCTCCGCGCGCTCGTCGGGGGCGCCGACGTCCGCGCGGGCGGCCTTTGTAGAGCGAAGGCTCGCGGCCGGCTCGCGCGAATTGCCAAGCAGGTTAGCGTTGGATTCGCCTAGGGGCGACGTTGGCCGGGCCGCGGTGTGGGCGCCGGGCTGCTGCTGACGCGCCATGATGTTGAGCCACTGCTCGAAGTCGGCCTGCGAAAGAGAAAAGGGTTCCTTTCTGTTCAAGTGTTTTTGGTCGAAATAGTGCCTGGTAATGACTCATGTATTCCTGCTGCTCGTAGTTTTCGTATCTACTCACAGTCGGCCAGCGGCGAAAACTATTTTGCAGCTGGTACTGAAGTGCAACTGGAATCTGCTCTGCGTGGGTAGAACTGATTGACATGGAAAACCAGGTCCAAATGCTCAGAACAACTTAACCGAAGGTCTAAGCACATGGAGCAGATCCTTGATGAAGTACTCTCTGTTCTGCTTCTTTTTTTTGTGATCTGGTAATGTCTCATGTACTACTTGATTCCTTCAGCAGACAAGATGCGAGTCCAAAGACGAAACGTAAAAACAGGGAAGGCTTCCCAAGCGCGACGCAGCTACAGTTCGCCGAGCAACGAGTGTAGCTCCTTAGACGAAAGGGAATTGCGATCGCAATCAAGTCGACTCCTGTATGCCAACGACGCGTTACAGATTAACAAAGACGTTCGCCTTGAGACCGGGTGCGATTGCTTGTGAACTCCGAGCTTGAATGTCTTGCTCCTTCCTCTGCAATTGGTTAGAAGCTGAACTAAAGAATGCATTTCTTTCGTTTGCTCCCGAGATACGGGGCGCTGGCTACTCCACGGGAAGTTCGCTTCTGGGACAGACTCAAAGGTCGACTCCACGCTTCTTGTGCATTGACGTACACTAGTGTCGTTTTGTTATCTACGAAAAATATAAATAGTCGTTGACAAAGCGCACAGCCGCGTCGCTCACCTGTAGCCGAACCCGGCTCTGTTCCAGGATCATCTGCAGGTGCTCGATCTCCTTCTTGAGATCCCTCAACCGCGCAAACCCGTCCTTGTACGTCCCCTTGTGCTCGTCGATCTCGTGCTTCAGCGCCTCTTCCTCCGGGTCGGGCGGCAGCGCGGAGGGATCCCCCCCGTCCGCGACCGCGGCCATCGCGCGCTTCATGCGGCGCTGCTCGATGCGCGACTTGAGGCCGTTGATGTGCTGCGGAAGGAAGAAGGGTCGGGAGAGGGTTTCATAACCGTCTGTTAACCGTCTGTTTACCCTTGTTAACCGTCTCGCGATTTGGTGCATTAAGGAATTGTTTTGAAAAAAGAGACGGGCGTTTGCTCGATACCCGACTAGGGAATGTACTGTGCTGCGAGGTGGGGAGATTTGCAGTCGGACTCTGAAGTAGCACGGACCTAGGCCACGCGATGACCGAAGTAGCTGAAGAAGCAAGAACGAAACATAGGGCTCAAGGACTGTGCTGAAGACGATGGATGCCCCGCATGTAGACCGGGTATGACTGCGGCGGTTTTTTTTTAGAGGAGAAGTGCGGCAGTGCGAGTGCCTGCGAGGGCACCATGAGACTATTTTCAGAGCACCTGATCCTATAAACAGACAAACTTTGAACGGGTGCAGCTCTTTATACGTAACGGCTAAGCAATGACACTTTAGGACTGGTAAGCTTTAAGGAATAGTAAGATCACCAGCCTGGAACGGGTAGGGTTAGTTTGGGGGTTAGGGTGGGTACGGGTGCGGAGCAGGTACCTGTTCTTGTTTGAGATTTAGTGTTTGGTTTGAGCTTACTTTCCTTGAACCTTTTTATTCTTGAAGCTTATTATTCTTGAAGCTTACTATTCCTGAAGCTCATCATTCCTAAAGTGTCGCGAAGTGTGACGGCTCACCTCCCGGGCGGCATTTACGGTCTCCCCGAGCGCTTTCGCCTCCGTGTACTTGGCCTTCAGAATAGCCTTGTTCTCCTCGATCACCTCGTTCTTCCGGTAGCTCTTGCGGAACCTGCGGCCGGAACAGCTGAAAGTTAGGGACGTGTGGCACAATTGTAGAACGTCTGGGACTCTCCGTTTTTCACATTGCGTCATCGCAATCACAAGAATCTTCTGAGACCTTTCTGACGGATAGATTAAGAACAGTTCTTATTGTGCGCCGCTTTGGTCTTGGTTTTAATGGAGTTTAGGGTCCACAAAAGGGATATCAAGAGAGGAAAGAGCTCTTTCATACGAACACCAAAGGAGTCGATGAATGACCATATCGATCAGTTACGCAGCGGCTAACGACGGGGATCCAACAAGCTCCTCGCAGCTTTCACAGTTTCTGCTGGCGTCACCCAGAGCGGCCTCTCTGTTTGGTTCGGCGAGCACAAAAAAAGTAACGTGGCAAGCTGCTTTCAGTCAGCCTTAACTACGCAACGTCATCTACTCACATCTCAAACGCCTTGTTTCGGTCCGCCAGCAGGCCCAGGCTCAAGTCCTGAGCCGGCGCGCGCGCGCTCTCGTCGGAAGCCGCCCCTGTCGCGCGCGCGCTTGCTTCGGGAATTGCCCCTTTCGTCGGGCTCGTCGCGCGCGCTTTGATCAGCGCGGCCGCGACGCTCGACACCCCGCCGCGCCCCGCCTTTTCCGCTCCGTTCCGTTCGGTTCCGGTCGGACTCGCGACCGGCTCCGAGAGAGGCCCTGTCGGGGGCTTTGTCGCTTTTGACTGCGCCTCCGTAGCCTCAGGGGCGTGTGTCCTCGATTGTAACAAGGCCTCTGCTCCGTCCACTCCTCGTCCCTTCAACATCGCCACCAAAATGTTCACTTCGTTATCCCTCTGTTTCAATTGCAGCCGCAGCTTCTTCACCTCTTCCGCTTCCGCCGCCGTCGCCTCCGGAACCCGCTCCTTACTCTCCGGAACCGTCCCGTTAACCGCAATCCTCCCGCTAACCCCTTTTGCGAATTCGGGGTTCGGCGCGCCCGCGGCCGCGGCACGCTTCTCCACTTTCCGGTCCTTGCACAACTTCTTGAAAAGCTCAAACGCTGCCCGTATGTGCATCATACTTGTGCCAACATTTAAAGCAGCCTCGGGAGACGGGTCTTGGACGTATCGTTCGATTTGCTTCCCAATCTGCTCGATCTCGCTCTCGGTGATGGGACCCCGGTCCGCATCGTCGCCCTTGAGTAGCCGCAGTTCCTCCTGCGGACCGTCCAAATCGAGATAATCTTAGCCGTTCGATTGTGCTTTAAGAACTTTGAGCGGGCAAAAGTGCGGCAATTGGCCAGAAGATAGTATTTGCCTTAAGATTGAGTATTTGAGTTGCCCTCAACAGCCGCCCTGCACCTTTAAAACCTCATCTCGAAGAAGATATTTTGCAAAACCGATCGATCTGCTTCTCTGTTCATAGTCAAGCATATGACATAACAAAATTGCTCGTGCGAGGTTGCCACACACACAAAGAACAAGAAGAAACCACTTGAGCATTCTCAGGACCCGTCGCATAACTCACCTTGAGGTCCCTTATCTCCTGCTTGAGCCGCCGGATGACCAGCACCGGGTCAAGCTCCTCGTTAACGTAAACCTGGTTCGAGATCTGAGCTACCCGCTGCGCGAAGCGGCACGTCGAGATGGTCTCCTCTAGTTGCTCTGCTGACGTGTTCACAGTGGCAATCATGACGGTGCGGCAGTTCCCGCCCAGGCTGTCGCGCAGCACTGACGTCATCATGGAGTTGCGGTAAGGCACGTGGCTGCGCGCCTTGCCCTGGCTGCGCTCCTGCAGCGCCACGATCACCTGGGGGCGGGATGGATATGAAATCAAATCTCGATCATAGACTGAAACTGGGTTTTCAATTTGGCTTTGACGACGGGTCCAATTTGGCTAAAAGGTTGAGCCTGACTTTGCATTGAGTCTTGTTTCGAAGTTGGGTCTGCATGCGAGGTTGGAAACGACTCACGGCTAGATGGGGTTCAGCACAGAGGCGAAAACGCGAGTATTTACGGTATGTACGGGCAGGAAGACAGAGGGAGTGGAGGCGTTCTTTCGAGCAGTAGAGACCGTCAGAGCTCCTGCCCCGTCCTTCAATCTGCGTCCTTACGGCATGCATTCCGCGCCAGATGCACTTGTGAGACGAAAAAATTTCACGTTGGATCCTCTTGGCTTGGTCTCTCAACTGGTCGAAAGCGGAGCAGCTCTCAGCTTGCGGATGGATACTCGCGTCTTTTCGGGCGCAACATTACATTCGCCGAAGCAAGGCCCCGGCCCAGAAAGAAAGAACCCCCTTACCTGTTCCAGGAAGTGTAGCGACAGGTTAATATACTTGGCCTCCTTGAGAATGAGTCCATCCACGTGCGTCTTGCTGACCCTCTCGGACCCGGCCAGATCGACCAGATGCAGTTTCGAACGTCGAACCATGTCGTGCCCCGCTTTCCGCGCCTCAATGCTGGCCGTGAAAATGCAGTGCCCCCGGGTTGAGGCTTGGTTCATGGGCGTAGCGCTGATCATGCGGTTGGTATCGCCGAGGAAGAGCAGGTTGAGGGCCTCCTCTTCGTTCCTGGAAAAAGCACGGATAAGGTATAAGGCGTTGGTTGATGAGCGTCGTTGGTTTCGCCGAAGGAGAGAAGACTCACAATCTCTTCTTTATACTAAGAGGAAATTGCGTGCGAAAGAAGGCGACCGTGAAACACACCTGTCATCGAACCCAGTTGCCTAAGTGTACACGAAATCTACCCTTGACTCGACAGGGCCAACTTCGGACCAAACAAGCTCAACTATTTGTCATGGTGCCGCCTGCTAGCAGATGATGGGTGTGTTCAGCTGAAGCGGTTACAATTGGATGAGCTCTCATAAGTCTTCTTTCGAGAATAGTTTCTGCATGCCTTCGCAGTCAACTTCGGGGCCAAGATATATCCCATGAGGTGCATGGTCGGCCTGTCTTTGGGGAGTGGAAGGTACAAGAAGAATAGGAGCTGAATTGCCAGATTCTACAGCCGAAACATTCAAAAACAAGATTTGACATTCAGGAGCAGTACGGGTACTTACGAGGCGGGGTGCGCCGACAAGTTGCGCAGATGAATCTGCTTATCCTCATCCTCCATAAGCGTGACCTTCGGCAGATCTTCCAACGATTTCGAATCTTCATGCGTTGGATCCAACAAATCATACCCCTGCTCATTGTAGATCTCAAGGTAGCTGAAGTGCACGGTGTATGTCCAGTCGCTCCGCTGACTCAGCTCCTTGAAGATGAGGCTGATTGCTCGCGGGATGATTCCTCGGTCGGCGTAACGGGTGGCGCCTCCGGTGATGGTGAAAGTCTTGCCGGATCCAGTCTGTCCGTAGGCAAAGATGGTGCCGTTGATCCCGTCCAAAGCGCCGACGACCACCTTGTGGGAGGTGCGCTCAAAGATGACGTCCTGAAAGGAGCACAGAGAAAAACCACGCTTGATCAAGCTTCGTCATGACGGTAGTCTTGCTTTCAGAGGAGAGGTGCACCTTGTGAGGGGGTCATAGCCGAGTGAAAACCTCGTCTGGTCAAAGTGGGGAAGATTTTTGAAAGTCAGGATGGGTTGGCGAACAACACTTCTTACCAATCTGATCGAGGAGACATCTTGCGGGCACGCCTTTGCTTTTTATTGCAAAGTGAGCGACCCTTGGCTCTGCAGACAAGCAAGCGTCAAAAATTCTCGAAGACAACTCGATGTGAAGAGTAGTGTACATTAAGATGAAGGACAACAAGAAGTGAGCGATTCAGCTGCCTCTGAGCTCTGAGTTGAATAGCGGGCGACTGTCCCCTCGCTGGCCCGAAGAATGTTAGCTTCTCTAGTGGGCAACCACAGACCGCTTGATATCTTGCAACTTTGCAAGTTACATAGCTGCAGCTGGTCTCTGATGATGAACCTCGGCAGAAAATTGAACGTGACCGTGAAATGACATGAAAGACATCCTTCAGGCACCTGCAGGTAGCTGAGGTGCTGCAATCAGCTGATTGCACCACTCCTGTGCTCTGTTTTTTTTAAAGCTGGCTTTGAGTAGGCCATTAATCTACATTTTGTCTCCTCACATGTGACCAATAGAATATCCGTTCAATATGAGCTTGAATTACGCAATGTAATATGCCCTGACATTACTGCGCTGAGCTCCACACCTGTTTGGCCTCCGCATCAAAGATGCCATCAAACTTGAATGCATAATTTTCCCTGGAGTTGTTGACGTATCCACCAGCTGCATCGCGTGGTAAGGTGAAGGCGACCTGGCCTTCGTCTGCCTCAATCTCCACCTTGGAGGCAGGATTTGTGACAGGCCGGACTCTAAGATAGATGCTGATGCGAACTGCGTCATCCTCCAGTGGAGCAGCCATGGTGTCTGCAATCAGTGGAGGTTAAATGCTTCTGCTTCTCAGCTCGCATTCATGATTCTCAGCGTGTAAGCTGCTAGATTGACGCTGGCACCATGTTGCAGTACTCAGAACATCTCAACCGTGCTGCTGGCTCCTTCAATGCTTCAACTTCCTGCAAAATCCCGTGCTTCAAAAGCCCTTTCAAATCGTTGATTGAAAGCTGGCAATACCCAGCACTACCTTTTATAGCTGCTTCTGCTGTTCCATGGCCTTGCTTCACAGCTCGCATGCTCGGGTCCAGCTGCAAAATTAGGGTTTGAACTCTGCCCTATGCAGCGCTCTCAATGGACACTTCTCAAATCACTATGCGGGGTTTGCGAACCAAGGGTTTGCAACCCAGCGGCGTCCCCGGGCAGGAGAAATGCAACGAGCACGCGACTGACGGGCCAGAGCTGGAGCCCGGGGAAGGAGCAAGCATGGGATAAACCCTCAGTTTGCAAATGGGTTAGCAGTAACTCCAGGGCTTTGCTTTGTTGAACCACCTCCAGGTGGAACCAGTGCCAAGCTGGCACCTGGTGTAAATCAAAGAGCCTTCTCTGCGCGCGAGGAGAAGGGGAATCAAGGAGGACAGCGCCAGCAGACGTTGCCTGTGAGCAATCTGCTCTTGGAAAAGTTCTCTCTAAGGTGCCTTCGAAAATGTTCCTGACGTGCCAGCGGTGACCAACTTGACGGTCAAAAGTGCACCGAAGATTTCTCATGCTGTCAGGTCTGCGGCATTGCGGCCGCCTTAGACGCCTACCACTTGCATTGGAAGACAGGACTTCGAATTTTCTAGAACAGCCGCATGCGCAAGGGATCTGGTCACAACAATCATTGCATTTGATTCTCAGAAGGGGACTTAGGCATACCTCTGCACTCTTCAACACCCTTGGTACCAATCGGTCGAATAGCCACCACCCAAGATTGCAATCTATATCACTAGGCAATGAACTATCTGCTGCAGTGACAGACAGGAAGAGCGCCGTTCGTAAGCAGGTGCGACATATATCGGCTATGACTAAACCGACCCTGGAACATAGAAGCGACTTCTTCAAGGCCACCAAGCAAGTGAACCAGGATCACGTGCTGATAGTCCTGAATTACAGCCTGCCGTCCTTCGTTCCTCTCCTTTGGGAACAGAGTAAGTGTTGATGCGCCACCACTTTCTTCGCAACAATAATTTTCTGACGTGCATGGATTGTAGCATCAAGCGAAGCCTTTCAGAGCACGCTGTTCCAATTCAACTTGGGACGCTGTTGCAAGCCACCTTGGATACTCTACTTCTCCTCTCTATGATTTGTATGGTCATGATCAACATAGGGGTAGTCATTGTGGGTGCGGTTGTTCATGAGGCCTTCTTTGGCGCTAGTCAATTGATGAGGAAGAAAGTGTGTAGCAATCATTGGCTCCTTGGGTGCCTCAATGTGTACTTCATCTGCAGGCAGATTACGAGTCTGTGCAGACGGTGGTGCAAACCGGATATACGACGAGCTTCCCCGCATCTTTCAGGAAGAAGAAGAGTCAGCCGTTCGAGCAAGGTGCGCAGCAGATAATGCACCATCAGAATGCCTTCTGAAAACTTTGGAATCGCTGCCAAGTGCTTGATGGCTTTTTCCTTTTTCCCCTGCATCCTGACAGGGGTGTCGAGGATAGCAACCAACATCCAGTCTTCTCCTTGATCCCAGAGCAGGCACTTGTCCCTTTACCTTTAGAGAGCCTGTGGTCACTAGTCCAGTCACACATGATCAACTTTTGAGTCGGTTCTGACCTAACCGGAAGAAGGCAAAGTCCACTACAGCTTGTGGGTATTTAGAGTAAGTCTTGGTAGTGATTCTGCATATGCATCTCCAGATGAGTGCTTTTAAGATCCGTGGGATGAAAATTACTAACATGCTTGCTTACTACCCTCTTACAGATACATTCCAGATGCAATCGTCGGCGACCTTGACTCGTTGCGACCAGACGTGCGGGACTTCTACACTCAGAATGTGAGTTTCTGATTTAAGCTGGAGTCTGCTTGCTGCAGTTGGTTGGTAGATCATTATCAAGGTTTCGTGAGAAGAATTCAACGATTCTGAGGCAAGCGCGCCGAATTCAGTCTTTTTTCGTCCATTGTCCCTGAAAAACGAACAGCGGTCAGCATGGATTGCTCAGCGCTGCTGTTCTTGTGTCACTGCAGAGTGTTCCGATCATCGATCTATCACACGACCAGGACACCTCCGACCTGCACAAGTGCATCAAATACGCACAGGGCGCAAATCCAAGTCTAACGCAGCAGGTATTTTGTGAAGTCGACGCTTGTGTCTCGCTATCTTTATCGCCCAACCCCTCTGTCTTGGAGGGGAGACGACCTTGCTCCTAAGAGTGACTCGGAAAGGTCACTGGGAATGGCCACTCGAGGACTTCGGAAATCAATGTCTGCAAGACAACACTTTCGAAGATTTGAGAAGAGCATACTCTTGTTCTTTCTGCAATCGTCACGAGATCTGCAAGGCTTGAAAGATTGACCTTAAAACTTTCTCGAGGATGGATCACTCAAAGTTTCTGAAAATCTGGTGGTCACAGTACTCACTAGTAATTTCGTACTCCAAATTCTGAAATCTCAAGTAGGTACTGTCGTAGGTGAGTAGCGGCCATCCGTCAGCGGGCCAACTCTGGCAGAAGTCTATCTTCTCAACATTTCGTTTGTCAAAGCTTCTCGTCGCTTTGATGCCAGCGAAATGTTCGAGCTTGAGAAGCCCCCAAAAACGTCGAGACCTGTCAAGGCCATTTCTATTGTTCCTGTCAGACGGGTCCCTGCGTGCTAAATGACGGAGGAGTTAAAAATTCAGATTGGAGCATTTGCTCTGCTTCACGGCAAAGAAACGTTGTCTGTAACAATCTGGCCGTATCGAAACGTCGATTGAGTACTGCCGCTGACCACCAAACATCGCAATCTAGTGCTCAAGAACACCGACTCGGCTTCTGACCTTCTCTGCCTGCAGTCCAAGCTCTTGGTGGTCGGGGCGGTCGGGGGCCGACTAGACCATCAGCTATCGAACATCCATATCTTATACAAGTTCCGAGACCTGCGGATCGTGCTCTTGGGCAAGGGCAACCTCGCGCTACTACTACCGGAGGCCTTCGAGCACGAGATATATCCTGATCGGGGAGTTGAGGGCCCCATCTGCGCGCTAATACCGGTCGGGTCGCCCGTGTCCGACGTACACAGCACGGGCTTACGATGGAATCTAGGTGAGCAGGTAGCAGAGTCTAAGCATCACAAAAAGGAGTCGAAACTTGTTACAGGGTCGCTAGATTTCTCAGGAGCCTTGTCGAATCGAGTTTAATGGTCTGTGGTTGGACCCTGCCGAACACCCTAGTAACGGCCAGATTCTTCGACAATCGACACAGTCTTGCCAGCATGTGGAGTCTCTTGACCAAGCGCGTGCTGAGGCCTTGGAAAGGAACTCGAGCAGTTTAGGTGGCAGTGCATTGAACATTGTCCTGTCTTCTCGTTTCAGGTGGACAGTCATTACAATTTGGGGAGCTTATCAGCACGTCAAATGAAATCAAAGCCGAACGAATATCGGTCCGAGCCAAAGGGCCACTCCTGTGGACTACCGAACTGACTGGGACTCCAGGCCTTCAAACCAGTAGTTCGTGATAAGATCTAACCAACCAAAAGAGGCCTAGGCATGCAAGAATAGAGTAGCTGACGTGTAAGCTGGTTTTCCTGCTTGGGAAGCACCGTACTAAAAGTCGGAAGCACTGCCTTCGAGTGGTACTAAGGATTTCGATCTCGCAAAGCAATCTCGAACTTAGACTTGTGAGTGCCATCGGCGCAACGGACGTCAGATGTGGCAAATGGATTGCCCTGCTGCAGCCGTCGCGTTATTTAGGTTTCCACGGGGCTTCAGGTATCAAGCGACCTACGACCCTCTTGAAACGCCACCACTAAGTTCGGCCGCAGGTAGTTGTATTGATTGTACGTGCGCATTGGCCACGAGGATTGCAGCCTAACATGACCATGAGCCGGACGCACATCAAGCGCTGCCGTCCTATCTATCGGTGCGAACGGACTGATTACTTGCGGGCTGCTGCGGGCTATGAGAGCACTTTGACACGCAGAGCCTAGGCCCAACTATAGGAGCTACGAATTGCTTTCATGAATAAATCCGTCATGACGCCATCACCAACTGGGAGAGCTGAGGCGCGCCATGCACATGCATGTAACACTTGTGCAGCCGAGGAACCATATGTCTAAGCAATCGATCCATTGAATCAAATGCGTGCCCAAAGGCCCTCTTGCCCGACGTGCATGTGCCCAAATGCCGCGCCCTCTTCCGCCTCATGGTCGTCATCACTAATAATGTCGGAAGCAGATTGGGCGCGGCATGAACCGCTTCCACTGTTGTGGATATGTTTCTTGAACAGAGTTGCTGCACTTTCCATGATAAAGCCCATCCTGGCAATAAACAAGGATCGAAGACCCTGGCAGGCTGTCAATGGGACCATGAACTCTCGAGTCAAGCAACCGAATCAGACAGAAACGTTGAGCGTGAGTATGCTCTGCTGCTCCAGAGTCGGACAGGAGGTCGGGGTCAGAGCACGGAGAGCACAGTGTCAAGCTCGTATACCTAGACAGGGGAGCCGGAGGTCGTTACTCTGCAGTATGACTGGTACTGCCGAGCCTACAGAAAGCTACCGGTATACGGGGACCTGTAAACCGGGCACAGAGCCGCTACACACCGTTTCTCTGAAGTCTGTACAGCCAGCGACTGACCGTACAGAAATGCTTACGCCAGCCGCCAGGCGATGCGGCGATCAGATCAGCACAATCAGCACCATTCCCGTACAACTGTGTACCCTCAGGAAGTGGTAACTAACGGACAATCTAAACCGTCGATATAGTCACAAGTATAAGACTGGCGGTCGATGTCTGACTACTGAAAAAGGGTACAGTATAAAAATGGAGCCGAGATAGAGTCCAACGTATCATTCTGTCTCGATCGCGATCAGAAAGATGGAGCTGCTGTGCAAGCCTTGGTGATAGGGCGGTCACATCTAAGATTTTCGAGGCTCGGTAGTCCCGAACTTTGCAAAGTTGGGGAGTTTTTTTCCCTGACGGTGAAAAAAACAGCTTCGGGACTACCGAAAAACATCGCGGACTTTTTCTACGGTGGTCCCGAACATACTTCGGGACTCCCGAACTTTTCCGGAGCCGTACTAAAAGTTCGACGGTAGACAGCCTCCGCGGGCGAGATGTAGTGGATCAGCGGTTTTCACGGGATACCTCTTGTACTTCCCCCTTGTCAGGTCCCGGTAGTCCCGAAGCACCAGCTTATATGATGTGACCGAAAGGCGTTATACGGTACCGAACATTTCTTTTTCGGGAGGCCCGAACTTTTTCAAAGCCGTAGATGTGACCGCCCTA